TGGCGCCCGTGACAAACCTGAGCCCGAAGCTAGATCGCCACAAGGTGCGAAGGCGCCGAGGTGTCCCGAGCTGGTCTGCGCCCTGGCGACCGCCAGTCAGGGCACCAGGCGAAGACAGGGCAAAACCTGCATCGCCGCGCCAGGCGCCCGTGGCGAACCTGAGCCCGAAGCTAGGTCAGCCACAAGGTGCCGAAGGCACACCATCACCTGAGCGAAGCCGGGATCAAGCTGCCTGGGAGAGGCGCTTCTCGAGCCAGAGCTCGGGCGCAGCCAACCCCCGAGATGCGTCCGATCCACCCCGACGACAAGCGTGCTGAGCTCCTTTGCGGAACCCAGACAGCACCGTCGGTGTCAATCGGGTGGAATTTCACCACAGACGACACCTGGTGAACTTACCGCCGAGATCAACACTTTCGCGAGCCGAAGCTCATACGGAGCCCGGACATCGGCGCTATCAATCATCGAATTGACATTATGTTGAAGAATATGTTGCTGCAATAGTGAAGCAAATTGAGTCATATTTAAGTCAGCAACATTGTTTGCGGGGAAGCGATAAAGGGATTTCCTTAGAAACCTTTTATCAAATATATTATCCCCGCCTGAAGCAGATTAGTGAAAAACATAACATCTGCGTTGTCGGAAATAATGCAGGAGGCGCAGAAACCCAGAACAAAACCACAACCTCGGCCTATGAGCCACGTTGGTGTAAAGCGTATGAAATATGTATCATAATACAACATAATGTAACAGGAATATTGGACTTAAAGGGCGTTTATTATGAGCATCCTTGATCGTCATGAGCGTCCTCGGCCAAATAATCGGAGGCACACTTTATAACCATCCTGTGGCGGTAGTGTGCATGGCACTGCGCTACAGGGCTTAAACTGCAACAAACAGAACCGCGCCAGTGTTACTAGCAGGAACTGTGAAGCAGCAAACACATAAACACAAGTAATAGCAAGAATAATCCATGCGGGCAGATATATAAATGCTACAAGCTACAGCCATTTAAATACTAAACATACAATGCAAAGCAGAAAAAAGGCTAGCCACCCCTGCGTGTGTACTAGTGATAGAGTAAAGTTGAGTGATAATAAACGAACACTATCAAAATTACTCAACAACGACTTACCACAAATTGGCTGAAAAGAAAGAGAATTTAGGCAAGCCTACCATATAATATGCAAACATAATATATGAACTCCCTACTACAAGCTACCAATAACATATAAAGCAAGGAAACCACGATCGTAGGCGGTCCTGCATTTGCCTGCCACATGGCTGGAAAACAGAGAACCCACGGCAAAGTTACAACAAAAGATGAATGAAAATATCCACATATGGCGTCCATCTAAGCCGTCGCGAGAAAGGAACCATACATACAGATTGAGACTCTTTTACACTCATCAAGATCGGGTAGGAGAGCAAACTCGAAGCGAACACCACGCGACGTCTATTCAACAGAACGACAGCATGAAAAGTGTGGTACGAGGTAGACGGCGAGAGTTACCTGCTCTTGGCTGTGTTGGTCCGGTGGGGCCCTGTAGGGGTGGTCTCACAAGACAAAACGAGTTTTTTGTTTTGTAAATATTTTATTAAAAATATAGTTACTACTGTCGTAGGATTTAAAATGGACATTTTAATGCTTATATGTACCCCAAGGAGGACTTCTTCTGAAAAAGAATCCGTAGAGTTTGTTAGCTAATACATGTTATAATGTAACCATAAAGCTTAAAATATGATGAAACTTAAGCCAAATATATAATAGCAAAAACCTCTTTTAGAATTTTGATAGCTAATATACCTATATGATATAAACATAGTACTGCGCTTAAGATATGAATAAGCTTAAGTTACATATATAATAGCAAAACTCCGTAGAGTTTGTTAGCTAATACATGTTATAATGTAACCATATGATGCTTAAGATATGATGAGCATACTTAATGCATAGTAATGAGCAAAAACTCTATTTAGAGTTTGTTAGCTATATATATATGTGTATTATATGATATAAACATAGTACTGCCAAAAAGCTTAAGATATGAATAAGCATTTTAAGCTACCTAGTATAATAAGATATGAAACTTAAGGTAAGTTTGTTAGCTAATATATTTTTATAATATGATGTAATAATATAGTACTATGCTTAAGATATAATTAACATTAATTTAGTACTGTTATATAATAGCCAGAAACTCGAGGAACTGTCAACTGTTGTGATATCTCTCAGATAATGGTTGGCAACCACCATATCGGATCTCCAGAAATAAACCCTCCATTATTTCAAATAACATTAGTGTAGATCAATTGTAGAAGTTAGCTTCTAATATCATGAGTATTAAAAGCTCATGGAGGGTCGGATTGGGTCCATCCGTCTTGTATGCACATAGTATGACAGTTCTGATCCAAACGGAGATATAGTACATGAGACTTCATTCATGAAAGTTGATGATAGAGGAAATAATCTGTTGCATTTTTCCTTCCTGTTTGGTTCGGTGGAGATAAATTTACAGTGCTCTTGCTGGCCATTGTGATAGAATCATCGTATCATGGAGTCCAAGTATGTCATCCAGGCGTGTGTTCATAAACCTCACTTGTGAGGTGTTGGAGCACTATATTCAGATCCCCAAGTTGGAGCATTGAAACTTCCGCTTTAATTCTCCAATCAGAAAGCTTAAGTAGGTTTACTAACCATCTAGTTGTGTTAGTAGTTCGATGATGAAATTCAGCTGTAGTATGAGACGCTGTGGATTTAGATCCACTTGTATCCCGGCCGCTAGGTAATTCGGCTAAGTCCTTTGACGATGTAGGTGCACAACCAGGTGTGTCTGTCCTCGCTGAACTTTATGTAAAATCGCCTGACTGCCGTGCCTCGTCCCTAACTTGACAGGGGAGGTCTCTAACCTGAAGAAAGCAGCCCAATCATGAAGGTTCAGATTAACTGACTGTAAGGAGGCTTGCTCTTTTCACTGATATATAGTTGTCACTTGTAACGTAAGTCTTGAACTGTGAAATAAGATCGACTTCGCGTAGGTCGTTGTCCATCGCGCGGTCCAATCAGAACAAGGCATTTTGATTCTGTAGAATACCGCCACTGTGATGTCACCGGTGTAGCAGGAAAAAACCTTGTATAAAATCTTGCCGTCGTTGATATTAGCATAATCGTCGGTCTTCACCGTAGCTTCCCGCAGTTACCCGAATGACCACCTGTTTCGAGGGTTAATGGTAAACCCGCGAAACCTCCGGCGCGAAATACCTCGCTCTGTAATATTAATGCTGGGTAGGTTATTTTCCTGGCTGTCGTGAAAGTAACTTCAGTTTTGAATATAATTCCGACTTCCTTATATAAAGGTACAATAAACTTGCAAGTTGTCAGCTTGTAGACGAAGGCTGTACATCTGGGTCCTTCGTCGAGGTGGTCTGCGACTTCCTTCGCGAAGGTGGCTCCGTCGTGGCTGCTACGCTGACGGGGGGTGCCTCTGGGGTGTCGTCTGCGTGGAACCTTCGCGAAGGCTCAGGCCCTGGGATGGCTGCTTCTCCAGTCTGTAGTGGCCCTCCATCATGATCATGATTTGCCGCAACAGTTCATCTGGGATGGTCTGCGACGAAGTAGTCGGTGCCCTCTCTGCGATGTTAGCGGTGGGGCCCTCAGGGAAGTCGTCTGACATCAGTGTAGAGACATCAGGCTGCATGGCGATCTCTGCTGATGTCATTGTAGCTGTCACCGGTCGCTTCTTGTGGCGTGACGTCGGGGATGATGATCGGCTGATCATCGTAGAGGCCCAGTTCAGCGGCTGGAACAATCTCGGTTGAGAAAGTCCTAGTAGACTTCGTTGATTTCCCCTCAGAGGTCGACGCTGCCCTGGGGGTGCGAAGTCTGCGTTGAGTGTTGGTAGCGACGGGACCTTCAGGAAGATCATCGAATATCAGCGTTGGTACATCAGGCTGCATGTTGATCTGCGCTGACATCACTGTTGCCGACATCGGTCATTCTTTTGATGTACATCAGGTATGATGATCGGCTGATCATCATACAGGCCCAAATCTGCGCGATGGGAACAATCTCGCTGAGAAAGTTCTAGTAGACTTCGCTGATTTCCCCTCAGAGGTCGATGCTGCCCTAAAAGAAGTCTGCGTTGAGATGCAGTAGAAACCCTCTAGTCTTCGGCTGCGACGATGGGATGTCTGGGGAAGCAGGACGCTTCTTGGAGGCGGCGGACTACGTCCCACGCCTCTCCACCACTCTAGCGGAACACCACACGGGAAGGGGGTCGACCAACAGCAGTAGACTGGCTTAGGGTTCAGGTGTATCAGTCATGCTAGACTCTGCATACAAGCGACCTATCTGCTGCGGCGCCTCAAACGCCAAAGTAAATATTTATAAAAGGCAGAATTGGATAAATTAGTACCGCGAACTGCAACGTGAATAAAATGAACATGGCGCTAGTACAACTAGGGCATATTAAATGCGGATCAGCAGCAGAATAAAAACGCGTAATCTGCAACAGTACAGAATTTCCATCAACGTAATCCACTGAAACAAACACGGCGTCCCGTGAATAAACAGTAGAAACACGACTAAATATCAATATATAATTGTTGAAGGATACTAGCTAAACCTCTATAGATGTCTATACGAGGTAACTAACTAAATATAATCAAAGGATATAGTGTGTCGGGAGACACAGGCGCTCTCACGTCCAGCTCACTGGGCGAAGAAGGAGAGAGTGAGGCACATGGGTGAAGGTGGCGCCCTCGTTCCCGCGTTTGTGGAAGGGAGGTAACTCGTGGTGAGTACTAATTAGTGATTTTACATTGAAGGGAGCTTCAATTAGGGAGATACAAGTGTTCCACTATGTTCGCAAGAAGAAGAAGACAAGCAAAAAGAGCATGAGTCAGGATAAGGAAAAATAATCGTTTTTTGTTTCTACCATCCATTAATTGCTATCGGAGACTCAACAATTGCAACCAATCTAACGACCAGACCCTGTACTTACTTGATATTCAGCAGCCTCAGGGTGTCTTCAACAAGTCCCGACTTGATGTCGTAGTCTATTTTCTCATCTGTACCAAAACTGGGAGAACGATTTATCTGAAAACAATAAATACATTGAAGATTTCTCACCAACCGGTGTAAACATCACTGAAGGCACTGTTCAGCCAGCCAGGTAAATAGAGAAATGTGCTAACCCTTCAACATACATCACTGAAGGCACTGTTCAGCCAGCCAGCTAAATAGAGACATGTGCTAACCCTTCAACATACATCACTGAAGGCACTGTTCAGCCAGCCAGCTAAATAGACACATGTGCAAACCCTTCAACATACATCACTGAAGGCACTGTTCAGCCAGCCAGCTAAATAGAGACATGTGCTAACCCTTCAACATATATCACTGAAGGCACTGTTCAGCCAGCCAGCTAAATAGACACATGTGCTAACCCTTCAACATATATCACTGAAGGCACTGTTCAGCCAGCCAGCTAAATAGACACATGTGCTAACCCTTCAACATACATCACTATTGTACCAATAACATAACCAGTGCATGACGTCATACAGAATGGATGAAGAATGATACTTGTAACCAATGACGTCTCACCTCCAGCAACCAAGGTCTCAGCTTCCTGTCAATCATGATGTCGAATCCTAGAATCTCGAAGCACACACTGTCACTGCCAGTCCCAGCTCCTGGCCGACACATGCGGTACGAGTGTAACACATGAGGCTGGGCAACTAACATTGTCTTGACAATCATGTCGGAGATGTTGCGCCACAACAACGCTACATCGATGTCGTTACGTCGGAGGAAGTCATTGAAGTAGCGTATCGAGCGTTTACTCCCAGTGTCCACAGAGGCACTTTTGTCGTAGAACTCGTTGTGTTTGTTGACGGAGTAGTTGGTGAGATGCATGTAGAGGTGGTTCTGTGGACACATGTATCACTGATGAGATAATGCTTCTTTTACAAACATCTCATTTACTCCCAAACCATAGGGTTGATGATCAACACAGTAACTCTGTATTGTTTCATAAAGTGAACTCCTAACAATGTTGCAGAAAGAAAGAATAAAGAACAAATGTTGTTTTTGGACAAACTGACTTGCATGTAACCCTATTTTCTGGTGGAATCTCAAATTATTCATCGCTATAAGAAAAACTCTCATTCACATGTATGTACGTTCCACAGTTGGAAAAATGTTAGTGTACTTAATTTGTTTTACATGTGTTCATAGATAAACGATGCTTGGCATTGCTAAGCACTGACCATGATAGGAAGGTATACTTACCATGTTACTTTCATGTGGCGGCAGGTATTTCTCAGTGCCGAGACGGACAAGTCCATCATTGAAGAGAAAGATGCGGAGTGGGTCACATGACGTGACAAGGACGTAGACACGCAGGTCAAACTTGTAGCCGTCCAGGAGCAAGGGCTTGTCAATATACTCCTGGACGATGAAGTGCTCAGTTGGGGGAATCTTCTCTGCATTTCGATACAGACAGATACTGAAGGGCAAATAATGAAGTAGGTGAGAGAATGCTCTTTAATGCTACTGTCCACAATATGGCAGGTGTGTCAGGCTGAAGAAGTTAAGTACCATCTTCCTTATTACTACAGAAATCTGGCATGGCATGACACGTTCACAACAAGAGTAGTGAAGGAATCCAGTCCTTCTTTTCTTTTGAGTAGTTTATACCCTGGCAATTTCAGATCATCAGGTCCAGGCCAAACACTGGACTGTGTCTCTTACCCCTGACCTTGTGTACTGTGTCTCTTGCCCCTGGACCTTGTGTACTGTGTCTCTTAGCCCTGACCTTGTGTACTGTGTCTCTTAGCCCCTGACCTTGTGTACTGTGTGTCTCTACCCCTGACCTTGTGTAGGTACTGTGTACCCCTGAATCGCTGTGTACTGTGTCTCTTGCCCTGACCTTGTGTACTGTGTCTCTTACCCCTGACCTTGTGTACTGTGTCTCTTACCCCTGACCTTGTGTACTGTGTCTCTTACCCCTGACCTTGTGTACTGTGTCTCTTACCCCTGAGCCTTGTGTACTGTGTCTCTTGCCCCTGACCTTGTGTACTGTGTCTCTTGCCCCTGGTGTACTGTGTACTGTGTCTCTGTCTCTGACCTTGTGTACTGTGTCTCTTACCCCTGACCTTGTGTACTGTGTCTTTACCCCTGCCCCTGACCTTGTGTACTGTGTCTCTTACCCCTGTCCATGGTGTACTGTGTCTCTTGCCCCCCTGACCTTGTGTACTGTGTCTCTACCCCTGACTGTGTCTCTTATGTACTGTGTCTCTTGTGTGTACTGTGTCTCTCTACCCCTGACCTTGCCCCAGGTACTGTGTCTCTTACCCCTGACCTTGTGTACTGTGTCTCTTACCCTGACCTTGTGTACTGTGTCTCTTACCCTGACCTTGTGTACTGTGTCTCTTACCCTGACCTTGTGTACTGTGTCTCTTACCCCTGGCCATGTGTACTGTGTCTCTTACCCCTGACCTTGTGTACTGTGTCTCTTACCCCTGGCCATGTGTACTGTGTCTCTTACACCTGACCTTGTGTACTGTGTCTCTTACCCCTGACCTTGTGTACTGTGTCTCTTACCCCTGACCTTGTGTACTGTGTCTCTTACCCTGACCTTGTGTACTGTGTCTCTTACCCCTGACCTTAGGTTGTGTACCCTGTGTACTCTCTACCCCTGACCTTGTGTACTGTGTCTCTTACCCCTGGCCTTGTGTACTGTGTCTCTTACCCCTGACCTTGTGTACTGTGTCTCTTGCCCCTGGCCTTGTGTACTGTGTCTCTTACCCCTGGCGTTGTGTACTGTGTCTCTTACCCCTGACCTTGTGTACTGTGTCTCTTACCCCTGACCTTGTGTACTGTGTCTCTTACCCCTGACCTTGTGTACTGTGTCTCTTACCCCTGGCCTTGTGTACTGTGTCTCTTACCCCTGACCTTGTGTACTGTGTCTCTTACCCCTGACCTTGTGTACTGTGTCTCTTACCCCTGACCTTGTGTACTGTGTCTCTTACCCCTGACCTTGTGTACTGTGTCTCTTACCCCTGACCTTGTGTACTGTGTACGGTGTCCTTACCCCTGACCCAGGTACCAGGTCTTACCCCTGGCCTTGCTAATTGTTGTGTACTGTGTCTCTTGCCCCTGACCTTGTGTACTGTGTCTCTTACCCCTGACCTTGTGTACTGTGTCTCTTGCCCCTGACCTTGTGTACTGTGTCTCTTGCCCGTGGCGTTGTGTACTGTGTCTTTTGCCCCTGGCCTTGTGTACTGTGTCTCTTGCCCCTGGCTTTGTGTACTGTGTCTCACCGGTTCCCTGATACACCAGTGTCTTACCATGTGTCTTACCGTAATCTTGTTCATCATCTCGTATGTGCACTGTTTGTCTTCTCAATGCCCTTGTGCACTGGGTCTTACCTGTGAGCATGTACATCGTGCATGTTACCCGTGCCCTTGTGCATAGTGTGTCCTACATATGGCTTTACAAACCATGAGACTTACCCGTGCCCTTGTGCATTGTGTGTCTTACATATGGCCTTACAAACCATGAGACTGACCCCGGCCCTTGTGCATAGTGTGTCTTACCAATGGCCTTACAAACCATGAGACTGACCCCAGCCCTTGTGCATAGTGTGTCTTACCAATGGCCTTACAAACCATGAGACTGACCCATGCCCTTGTGCATTGTGTGTCTTACATATGGCCTTACAAACCATGAGACTGACCCGGCCCTTGTGCATAGTGTGTCTTACCAATGGCCTTACAAACCATGAGACTGACCCATGCCCTTGTGCTTATGGCCTTACAAACCATGAGACTGATCCGTGCCCTTGTGCATAGTGTGTCTTACCAATGGCCTTACAAACCATGAGACTGACCCCGGCCCTTGTGCATAGTGTGTCTTACCAATGGCCTTACAAACCATGAGACTGACCCATGCCCTTGTGCATAGTGTGTCCTACATATGGCCTTACAAACCATGAGACTTACCCGTGCCCTTGTGCACCATTGGAAGGTTTTACTATAAATGTTTTCAGTTTTTTCTTTGATTTCAGTTCCTTGGCGTAGTTCTGTAATGTACTGTAATCTGTTGGTAGAATCCATGTTTTGGGCACAAAGTTGTAATCTTCAGGAAAAGATTTCTGAATTCTGGAGAGAAAAAAACAAAATCACTTTATCTGCCATGAACTCTCGAGACATCTCATGAGGTAAACTAACAAATTTGTTGCCAGAAGAACCTCTTAGCCATGTTCATCGTGCATCAGATGACATCTACTTCGGTAAAGTCTTGGGAGTCAAAAAGCCTCCATCATTGTATCACAGGGGCGGATCCAGGATTTGGGAGAAGGTGGGGTAAACATGTATCATGAAGTCCAAAGGTTAGGGGAAATGCTCTTCAGGGACATTTTTTTTTTGGGGGGTGGGGAAAGGCTGCATCAACATTATGATTATTCTAAAATCTAACTCTTAACAATTTGAGTCCTAACCAAGAAAACCAACAACTACACCGACAGACAACAGAAAGGTCCTTGACACACTCTCTTTAACAACTCACTTGAGGAAGTTCCTGGCGAGCGCGTCTTTCCTCGTCACTTCCCCCATCCCAGGGAAATGGTTCAGCTTCTGGTATGGCTTCAGCTCAGAAACTCGCTCCGTAGACACAAAGCTGTCATTCCACAAGATGTAGCTGGAAAAAAACCACAGTCATCTGTATACAGATCCTAGTTTTACGTCGCACTCAGCAATATTCCAGCTATATGGTGACGGTAAAAAGTCGAGCCTGGACCAGACAATCCAGTGATCAATATCATGACATCCTTATCGAGAGTTTGAAGGTGAGAAAGTGCTGCATATCTTTCACCTTCACTTTCACTTTCATCCAGAACAATGAACACAATGCATCAGTCATTATAAACTGACATGACTCTTTCCTTTCACTTATGATGACTGGTGAAAAGTCTACAACACAAAACTACATGATTTGGTAGTGACTACCCACCTGAGAGGATCATCGTCTCGCGATGCCGTGTAACCCAGTTTTTCCACCATCTGCCGCACTGCAACACCACACAAAACATCAAGGAGGGGTATCAAGATGAAGGAGGGGTATCAAGATGAAGGAGGGGGTATCAAGATGAAGGAGGGGGTATCAAGATGAAGGAGGGGTATCAAGATGAAGGAGGGGTATCAAGATGAAGGAGGAGTATCAAGATGAAGGATGAAGGGGGGAAGGAGGGGTATCAAGATGAAGGAGGGGTATCAAGAGAGGAGGGGGTATCAAGATGAAGGAGGGGGTATCAAGAGGGGAAGGGTATCAAGGGGTATATCAAGATGAAGGAGGGTATCAAGATGAAGGAGGGTATCAAGATGAAGGAGGGGTATCAAGATGAAGGAGGGGTATCAAGATGAAGGATGAAGGAGGGGGTATCAAGATGAAGGAGGGGTATCAAGATGAAGGAGTATCAAGATGAAGGAGGGGTATCAAGATGAAGGAGGTATCAAGATGAAGGAGGGGTATCAAGATGAAGGAGGGGGTATCAAGATGAAGGAGGGGGTATCAAGATGAAGGAGGGGGTATCAAGATGAAGATGAAGGGGGTATCAAGATGAAGGAGGGGGTATCAAGATGAAGAGGGGGTATCAAGATGAAGGAGAAGGGGTATCAAGATGAAGGAGGGGTATCAAGATGAAGGAAGAGGGTATCAAGATGAAGGAGGGTATCAAGATGAAGGAGGGTATCAAGGAAGGGGTATCAAGAAGAAGGAAGTGGTATCAAAGGGAGGGAAGGAGGGTATCAAGATGAAGGAGGGGTATCAAGATGAAGGAGGGGTATCAAGATGAAGGAGGGGTATCAAGATGAAGGAGGGGTATCAAGATGAAGGAGGGGTATCAAGATGAAGGAGGGGTATCAAGATGAAGGAGGGGTATCAAGATGAAGAAGGGGTATCAAGAAGGGGGGTATCAAGATGAAGGAGGAGGGTATCAAGATGAAGGAGGGGTATCAAGATGAAGGAGGGGTATCAAGATGAAGGAGGGGGTATCAAGGAGGGGTATCAAGATGAAGGAGGGGTATCAAATGAAGGAAGGTATCCAAGGAGGGTATCAAGATGAAAGGAGGGTATCAATCAAGATGAGGAGGGGTATCAAGATGGAGGGGTATCAAGATGAAGGAGGGGTATCAAGATGAAGGTATGAAGGGGTATCAAGATGAAGGAGGGGTATCAAGATGAAGGAGGGGTATCAAGATGAAGGAGGGGTATCAAGATGAGGAGGAGGGTATCAAGATGAAGGGAGGGTATCAAGATGAAGGAGGGTATCAAGATGAAGGAGGGGTATCAAGATGAAGGAGGGGGTATCAAGATGAAGGAGGGGTATCAACATCAAGATCAAGATGAAGGAGGGGTATCAAGATGAAGGAGGGGTATCAAGATGAAGGAGGGTATCAAGATGAAGGAGGGGGTATCAAGATGAAGGAGGGTATCAAATGAAGAAGGGGGAAGGAGGGGGTATCAAGATGAAGGAGGGGGAGTATCAAGATGAAGGAGGGGTATCAAGATGAAGGAGGGGTATCAAGATGAAGGAGGGGGTATCAAGATGAAGGGGGGTATCAAGATGAAGGAGGGGTATCAAGATGAAGGAGGGGTATCAAGATGAAGGAGGGGTATCAACATGAAGGAGGGGTATCAACATGAAGGAGGGGGTATCAACATGAAGGAGGGGATCAACATAAAGGAGGGGGTATCAACATTCAACTTACTCTAATCTTCAAAGTATGCATGCCACATTTTGGGCAAAAACATTTTAGCAGTTGACAATGAGAGAGTCTAGTTTAAATCTGGAGTTTCGTATACCTGACAGAGTGTTGCACAATTTTATAATGTCAAACTGAAGGGCGTGACATGATAACAATGATGTTGGGTGTGGAACCTAGCCAGGACTATGAGGATGCCCAGCTAATGTTATGCAAGGGAGGAGCTTCACACTGTTGTCAGTGATATTCACTTGTGCTCAACTGGATCTAGCCACATACCAACTTCATATCTGGTTCCGGAGAGATTCGCAGTCACCAGGTGGCGTTTCTTCCGCTTTTTCTTTGATGCATTTCCACTCCCTCCTCCTCGATCAGCACGGTCACCACGGTTACCATTGTTGGGGTAGAGGTCAATGTTCCCGTCATCTCGATCATACTGCTGGTTGGGCAATCCACTGTTTCTCCGCATGTGAGGTGGAACGGAGGAAATCCCAATATCTGCAACAAATATACCAACAATGTACAGAACTAACAGCAATGGCATGGACCTGTAGCTGTGATACTTGTACCATCACGCATGCCCCTGTATCCCCTCTGTACCATCACACATGCCTCTGTATCCCCTCTGTACCATCACACATCCCCCTGTATCCCCTCTGTACCATCACACATGCCCCTGTATCCCCTCTGTACCATCACACGTCCCCCTGTATCCCCTCTGTACCATCACACGTCCCCCAGTATCCCCCTCTGTACCATCACACATCCCCTGTATCCCCTCTGTACCATCACACGTCCCCTGTATCCCTCTGTACCATCACACACGTCCCCTGTATCCCCTCTGTACCATCACACGTCCCCCAGTATCCCCTCTGTACCATCACACATCCCCCTGTATCCCCTCTGTACCATCACACATCCCCTGTATCCCCTCTGTACCATCACACATCGCCCCCTGTATCCCTCTGTACCATCACACATCCCCTGTATCCCTCTGTACCATCACACGTCCCCTGTATCCCTCTGTACCATCACACTTCAGTCCCCCGTCCCCTGTATCCCTCTGTACCATCACACGTCCCCTGTATCCCCTCTGTACCATCACACATGCCCCTGTATCCCTCTGTACCATCACACATCCCCTGTATCCCTCTGTACCATCACACGCCCCCAGTATCCCTCTCTGTACCATCACACCCCCCCCTGTATCCCTCTGTACCATCACACGTCCCCTCTGTACCATCACACATCCCCCCTGTATCCCTCTGTACCATCACACGTCCCCAGTATCCCCTCTGTACCATCACACATCCCCCCCTCTGTACCATCACACGTCCCCAGTATACCATCACACCCCTCTGTACCATCACACATGCCCCTGTATCCCCTCTGTACCATCACACGTCCCCTGTATCCCTCTGTACCATCACACATCCCCTGTATCCCTCTGTACCATCACCGTCCCCTGTATCCCTCTGTACCATCACACATCCCCCTGTATCCCCTCCCTGTATCCCCTCTGTACCATCACACATCCCCAGTACATCACACGCCCCCTGTATCCCTCTGTACCATCATCCCCTGTATCCCCCTCTGTACCATCACACATCCCCAGTATCCCTCTGTACCATCACACATGTATCCCTCTGTACCCCACATCCCCTGTATATCCCATCACACATCCCCCTGTATCCCCTCTGTACCATCACACGTCCCCCAGTATCCCCTCGGTACCATCACACATGCTTCCACATATATTCAGTGCAGGTAATAAACTTGTTCCAAATAAAATATGGTAAAAGAAAATGAAGATGAATTTTGTTAAATTAGAAACAGTTACATTCTATAAACATCTGTTTTTCACATTGTGAAATCTGTTACTGTGGTGATTCAAAAATAGACTATTTGGTCTGTCACAGTTTACAAAATCCAAGACATCTTTCTATCAAGTCATTTATCTAAAACATGCGATGCTATGATTTCCTCACTATTTAATTGAAAGGAAGTTTTTTTTCGAATCTAAAGCAAATACTGATGTATTTCTTAAAATGGGCTGGGTTTCCATGACACCAAAGTGTGTTTCCATGACAACATACCTCCTCTATCCATTGAAGACAATGAAGACATGGATATACTGGGGCGCATCCCCGACATGACCTTCACCTTTACCCTTCCGTTTAAACTGTGTCCACCCACCGTCACCAACGTCAACAACAACAGTGGAGGTGTCACATCGTGAACATTACCAGAATGAGGCTGGTCGATGAATCTGAAACATGAATGGAACAGTGTGAAGAGCTGCCATGATGCTTGACATCTGGAAGATGAAACAAGGGGTTTTGGATACAGAAAAGAGAAGGCCATTAAATAGAATTCAAAACAATTATGACTGTGTATGACTCAATCAACTGAATCATAACACACACAATTTTGACTGACATGTTCTAGTTGGAATATAAACACAATCAAAGGATTCAAATCTCAGACTGTCCATTTCTGTTCTCCTTCAATCACATGTGCCATTTTTGTATAAAACAGGGAAAAAGGTATAAGTTGACCTTAAGAACTATATACTAATACAGTGTACAGTGATATTATAGGAAATAACGCATGCCACATAGAGCCACTGGCATTTACTTGTAGTGAGAGTAGCAGTGATAAACAAATTAACAGTCATAAAAGTATTTTTCCTTTTTTAACCATGTCTGTGGTAACAAGTGTTTAATTCTGTTTGAACTTTGATACTTTTTTTATGCTTTTATTTAACTTGAGATAAAAATATGTCTGAATGTAAATTCAGAATTAATTCATTGGAAGTTCAACTGTTATCATAAAAAGAATCTTTAAAAAATGTACTGATAGATAAATAGATTGAAATATTTAGTGTTCAACATAGGGCTGTGCAATATTACTGGTACACCGGTATATACCGGTACAGTATCTCGCGATACGATCATCGCGATATGGTTCATAATTCTGCAATATATTGCGTCATCCAGAGTTATCTCCCTTTGAGTTATGTGCCCTTGATTTCCAGAGCAACAAAATGTGCTCTAAAAGTGTCAAATATACTTATATTTCTGTTGGTTTTATGTAAGATTTTACATGTGGAAGCGTCTTTATAGGTGGCTCCAAAGTACAAAATATTCTATATCCAGTGCTTTAAGTTTTGTGGGTTTGAATGGTTTCATATGTGACATTTTGGAGGAATTATGTGGCCTCAAATGGACCAATTTTTCATTTGGGCTTATTAGTAGAGTGAGTGAGTGAGTTGGCTTTTAGCAATATTCCAGCAATATCACAGCAGGGGACACCAGAAATTGGCTTCACACATTGTGCCCATGTGGGGAATAGAACCCCGGGCCTTCGGCGTGACGAGCGAATGCTTTAACCACAAGGCTGTCCCACTGCCCCACTTATTAGTAGAGCCTCTGGCTCTGACTGACCATTTATCAATTCAAGTTATTTTATTATTGTTGATTGTTCCATAATGGGACATATGTTATCAATATTTGATAAAGGCCTAAGTCTTAAAATGTTTGTAGGACTGTATACTGACATTCCAGTCAAGCGTCTTAGTTATTGGAGGTCACATGATATTTTAAGCTCAAGTAGTCAACATAAATGATTGTTTCATTTAGCAATAGTTACATGTTTATATTGGAGTTGAATCTGAATGAATCACTTACATACGGTGACAATAATGACATACTTCATTGAAGTGTATTCTGTAGAAGCAAACACTGATCATGAAATTTATTTTATACTATTACCTTTATCATTATGTTCTCAAACCCGTGCTTGTCGTAAGAGGCGACTAACGGGATCGGGTGGTCAGGCTCGCTGGCTTGGTTGACACATGTCATCGGTTCCCAATTGCACAGATCGATGCTCATGCTGTTGATCACTGGATAGTCTGGTCCAGACTCAATTATTTACAGACCGCCACCATATAACGGGAATATTGCTGAGTGCGGCGTAACACTAAACTCACTCACACTCATTATGTTGCAATACTTCAAGTTAACATTGCACATTAAGGCTGAGTATACCATATTATTTATCTGTAAACCACTGGCACACAGCCATACACAATGGGTATGAGGAGCCTGAAAGTATGGTGTAACAGCAACTAAGAAGATGATGTCACACAGAGAGCTATTATGAATCTATGATGTACGCACTTGGGCAGAAACCTTCCAGTCAATATACAGTACAACCAGAAATTATTGAGAATTTAAAGATTGTAAAAAAAAAAATTCACCCATTACTCACATATTAAATGTGAACATTAGCAGAACATAACTCCAGGTTCAAAGACAGGTGAACAGTTAGTATTTTGTCAAGTCGCCATGGGCAGTGATGCAGGCTTCAATGAGGCGGGGCATACTACTGATCAAAGAAGTTAGAAAGTCGTGGTCCATGCTGTCCCAATATCGGACCACCTCTTCTTTCATTTCAGCAATATTTGTCAGATTTTTCTTATTGACACAGTCCCCAAACATTTTCTATTGGATTTAGGTCAGGGCTATAGCTTCGCCAACTGATAATGTCATATTTTGGGTCCGAAACCAGGCCTGTGAATGCTTTGAACGATGTTTTGGGTCGTTGTCCTGCTGGAAAATCCAAAACTTTCCATAGAACATGTGAGCAGATGGAAGTAAATGTCCCTCGAGAATATCTGTGTACCACTCACTGTTCATATTCCCTTCAAATACACAGAAGGGTGTTGCCCCTAACACAGATATGCCATTCCCCACGTTAAGTTTCAGACTGTACTTGACTGGCGCTGATACAAAGGTTTTTCAGTTTGTTTGGTCCAGAATTTCAGTGTATTAGGAAACAGCCACACAGAACTTTCATCTGAGAAAATCACATTGTCCCAGTTAAAATTTCTATGCTGTAAGCACCAGTTCAACCTTTGCTCCTTTTGTTCAGGTTTCATGATCGGTGATGGAATTCCTCGACTTTTCTGCCAACCCATTGCATGCAGCTCAGTTCTAATTGTCTCCTTACAGACAGCCACAGTTCCTCTATCAATCATATCCAGCCTTAAGTTTTCTTAACTCCTTCGTTTGTTTTTAGAAACAAGAATACCAAGCCGCCTCCTGTCAACTTTCTAGACCTACCTGCGCCTCCCTGGTGCTCAATGCCATATCCATTTGCAATATTTTTCAAAACACGATAAACAGTGGACAAAGGGATGCCTGTTCTACTTGAAATCACTTTAGCTGATCTGATGTCCTTGTTATAATACTCTAAAATCAACTTCCTCTTCTCTAAATCATCCATACTGAGGATCACTGAAAATGTCGTCTGCTAGCAAGTAAACAAAGGGGGATAACTCTTCACAAACTAATGAAAAAGGATTAACGGAGTTGTCTCTCTTGAATGAAACCAAGCACTTGATAGCTGGTCAAGGTTGTTTATACTAGAAATCCAATTAAACATATTCCTAAAATTCTCAATAATTTCTGGTCATACTATATCTCAATATATATTGCAATATCTCTTAAATTATTGCAATATATCGCAATATGAGAATCAGGGCAATATCCAGCCCTAGTTCAACACTATCTCAATCCATACTTGTGTTCTGACCTGATAACTGACCTTTGACCTGATAACTGATGTGTATTCAATATATCTGCACTTATGGAGCATTTTAAGATTGTGACATATCCAGAATGTTTGATATAATCAAAACCAGTCTAGCTGAATAATATATACATGTTAAGCATGACATAATATCTCATATCATGTTTATCAAGCTGTCAAATTAAAACAATGTTTCACATGTGTACTATAGTATACACATCATACAATACAGTACAAATATACACAATATGATACTCTATTATACCATAGGATAAACATACCTGCCATAAATTTAATAGAAAACAGGTGTATAGCATAGAATTAATGTTTAGATCATATTCTATACCATTCTCTTCCCACAGAGGTTACTCCTGTCATATCTTCCTACGTAACCTCTGTTCTAATTGGAGGCAATCAGATTTAGTTTGCAATGCAATCAGCGGCGTTGTTTCAAAAGTGATCATTCTTAGAGGCCTCGGTAATTTCCGTATGCGCCGAGAAAATTAAACCTCTTCCCCTGTGCGATGCGCAAACGTTTCTTCTAGACAGAACTCAGTCTTGTTATGGCGGATCAGTGGCGTCTCCATCGCCCTCATTGACAACGGACAAGCTAGCCATTAAACGTCTTGTGTGTAACATCAACACAAGTCCCCGGCAGATGAGGGATATTTGTGGCCTCACATTTGCTTGTGTTAGTCAAGTTGAATCTAAGTCGATGTAACACGTGTTCTGATTGGATAGAAAGAAGGGAGATAATTCGTGTTGCGAGCTTTTGCCTCTAGGGGATTTTACGAGAACCGGGAAATATGGCCGTATTAGAACAGAGGTTCGTAGGAAGATATGACAAGTAACCTCTGTGGGAAGAGAATGATTATATACATAAACATAGGATATAACACAATGTACTTGATATATGCTGTGGGATAAACATATATACTGTGGGGCACCCATTATACCTTAGGCTATATATTTAGACCAGGGTAACATCCTAGCAGTTGGAAAGCGGGGTTTCAGTTACATACATCAAATTATACCAAATCAATTGCTTGCAACATCACATAAAAATGAAAAATAAATAATGAAAAATTATGTGTTAAAATATTATTCTGATGATTAGATGTCATGATCCTCGGTATATCAGGGGAATGGAAGGGAATATTCTCCAGTAGAATACACTGCTGTACCAGCTGAACAGTGTTGACATCACTGGACTTCAGTGGGTACCAACCCCTTTTGGGGAGGCCAATATTTAATGTGGAATCTCCTTTTTGTCTTTTAAAAAAGTAACTAACAATTCACTGAAAGTGTCAGTCTAAGTTTATGTGCCTGCATGACCATGCATCCTATGTGAAAATCAAATTCTAGTTAATGGTATATGTTGGATGCTTTGTGGTATTTATATAAATATGAATTGCTATATGTTTATACCATAATAACGATAATAATTGTACACTTTTTCTTTTATCATTAAACAAACATTGGTGGGTCTGGTAATGTATGACGAGGGAAAAGGGGAAGAAGGGGTTTGGTCGGGGAGGGGGTGACAGTGAGATGATGAAAGTGGTGTGTGTGGGGGGGGAGAGAGAGAGAGAGAGAGAGGGAGAGAGAGAGAGAGAGAGAGAGAGAGAGATGAGAACAACATACAGGGTAGGGCATGAAAAACTGACAGTTCTAGGTTTGTTGAAATGAAGAAAGCCCTTTAACATCATTCTGAAACTGGTCATATATTATTATGAAAACATGTCACATGTACCACCTATCGTGAAAAGTCTAGATCCAACATAATGTTCATGACGGTTTGGTGGGAACCGTGTATGTGTGTGTGTTGGGAGGGCACAGCCGGGTGGGACTCGGAGGTGTCAGCAAAATCGTCCTCGGGGCAAAGGTCAATTTCTACACATCAACATCAGAAATACACATATATTCATCAGATTAACAATACACAAATAAGATTATCGCTGATAATAGTAAAGAGCAACACATCTTTCTGTGGGATCTTGGAGACAGCGGACAGTGTCCGACAACGAGGTCGGTGAAAGTTCCGGACACATCGTCCCGAGAAACACCTACCATGTCGCCATGACGTACATCCGTAACAGTCTTTTTCCTCAGTACAGAAACAGTTAGTTGAAATCCCCAGTTCAAAACGGTAAATATGTTAAAGATAGCTTCGCACTGCTTATGTTTTACTTGATAAATCTGTACGTGTCGGAGGCCAAAAACGCCATCTTTGTTTGATCACGTGACACAAGCACCTGACAACCTCATTCCAAAGGACGCTTGTGCCTAGCAACTGTCAAACCTTGCGGTCCTTCATTGACGATCTCAATGAACACTTTCAGTCACAATATATCAAGAATGTATTACTTCTCACAGTTGATGCGACAAATGTTTAAACCCAATGGCCGTTTAGGCATGGACGTGTATAATTTCATTTACTACATCGTGGTACTGAAGAAATTCTAAAGGCGCAAATCAGTGTATATCATTTTAGTGTTCTGATGTAAATACAAACACACATTTAATGACGTATTACACCCAGTACTTTCCCAAGTATGTTAAATATATTTCAGGTGGTTTGTTAAACAAAATTAATTGTCCGTTGGGGTTCTGTACATACAAATTATAGGACCTCGCCCGAGGTGGTTTTGAATTTGTGTCACAAGTAATCTGAAAGGAGCATGTTTCAGCCTCACGTTTTCTTCAGACAGAAATAAGATATGACAAGAGAGCGTGTAAGTGTCACAATTTCTACAGGCAGGAATACGATATGACGGATTAACAGTCCTTGTGAATGAATGGTGTACTCTCCAAGCCTTTGAAATCAATAGTTGCCCGTATCGAGGTGGTTATTAAACAGTCAATATATGGTTTATGATAAGCGATATAAATCCTGTACGAAACACAAATAACAACTCCACGCTCTCCACTGCATTGTCGGCATGCAGTGCTTCTGACGTAATACGCCCGTCCTTGTTGACGTGATGTGTGATGACGTCACACTAGTTTTTGCGTCATAGTTTAAGTTAACAGAGAAAACATAAGATATTGACTAAACAAATGATACAATGTTGATAATAAAGATAATCAGATGTGTGAATGCGCTTGGTTCTGTTCTATATATATAATAAGTACGCCCCCGTTCTAGTTATCGACACGACTATCAATAGAAGTTGATCTAGATCATGACTGACATGTATGTCCTATCAGTCCAACCTTATCCCGCCCCCATCTCTGGCCGTGCTTTTATCATCATATATGGTATTGATAATTGTTCACATGCATTGACGATTTCAGTTGTTAACTTGGCTAAAGATGGACATGTGTTTTCAAACGATGAACACAGGTTTTCAAACGATGAACACAGTGGGTGTTCCATAGAGGGTTTTTGTACGAAAAGCTGAATTGTGTAAATAGTCCAAATTGTCTGTATAGCCACACAGTACTTCGCAACATAGTTATTAATCTCACGTTGAGTGGCCAGTAAGCGGATATGACCAGTATACACCCCTGCGAGTGGTCAGCCGTCGGACCCGAGACCTGCATCATTTAGGGGTTGATCCTCCCACGTGGAGCTGGCACACACCCTGGAACACAGGGCCTCGATTCACAAAGCTCTCGTAAATCTAAGATCTCGTAACTTTCCTCGTAGCATTCCTACTTCCTATACTGTAACATTGACTTACGATAGTCGTAACGCTACGAGAGCTTTGTGAAACGGGGCCCAGCTGGACACATTCACTCAACGCTCGGGGTGGTTGCATTTCAACCAGTACTTGTGCCATCTACTTGATGTGGAGCGCCATGGTAACAACATGTACCATATTTTGGCACGACACAGCCTATGAGTCGAAACGACGAGCATTGGCGGATCCAGAGGGACGGGGGAAGGGACGTGGGAGGGGTAGGGTGCGCACCACCCCCATCCCCTACCCACCCGTTTTGTCCTCAAAGTTTATAAACTGACCATTGAAACTCTCATGAAAACGGGTGAAAATGAACGGTTACAGTCCGCGAGGCCTAAACTTCACTCCTAATAAATCCCACAAGGCCTAATTACAGTTTGCCCACATGACATAATTAATGAGGTAATTGGGGCGTGAAACAAGAGTGGGAGAGGCCACTGATCAGTGGACGGGGGTCACTCTGTTAGGGTTAGTTTAGTAATGAGACTTGTCTACTGTGAAAACATTAAAGTTGGATACATGAAAGCACTTACTGTTAATCTTAATAAGATTAGATCTATTATTACTGGAGGAGTATGTAGGAGTTGACAGGGCTTGCTGCGAGCCAAGACCAGGCTACTCACTGGCACCATCGCTGTCCTGGAGTACACAGACTCCCACTTACTTGGTGTTTGGGAACAGTGAATAACAATACACATAAACAATATCACTTTGTCACCTATGATAATATGCTAAATGATACAGATTTTGTTGTGATAACATAATACATGATAATATGTTGTTAAGATTCCTGTGGTCAATCCATCCATATTTGATTTTTGTTGTTTCTTATGATTCACCCCTTCTGTGGTCAATAAAGGGACCAGTCCAGCAATAATCCACCGTAATCCCATAAAACCAGTGAGGCATGAAGTCCAACATAGCCTAATGAACTGCTACCTAATTGAATAATTTTAGGCCTCGTAGGACGACACCAAATGAACTGAAACCCCTTTCTTAAAAAGCTGTATCCGCCCCTGCCGAGTTCGGCTCTCCAAAGCACACACGCTGTCTGCTGGACCATGGAGGTAGTCATTGCGTCCTACTCGACGTTCAAGTCGAGAACATTGTGAAAGAGGTGGTGACAATCCGTTTCAACACTGGCATGATTTTGTCCACTCATTTGGGATAACAAAAATGTTTACGATAACACCAATCATAAAAGAAGATGGGAAACGGTTCATTCGGTGCATATGACGGTCTGTTTAAACCTACAGACCACGAGATTGTGTTTGTTCCAGCCTGTGGAGGACAAGCTGTAGGCTATGTTTACAGGGAGATCATCGTGGGGAGATCATTGTTTATTGATGACAGTCGACAGCGGATTAGGCGCTAATCAACAACAGATTAAAAGTTAATTAGGATAAGAGAGAGTATATACGAGGAATCTTATCGACCAGGGGAGAGCTGGTAAGTTCCAGAATTTGACGCTGTACTGTTGAAAGCCCTAGTACTGATTTCTATGTTAAATCGGAATAATATATAGCAATAATGTAATAATATTTAAGAAATACACTTCGCTCTACCACCATGTATAGTGTAATAAAACACACTTTTGCCCTGAACTATTATAGTTAAAGCACGAGGACGCTTGCTTCTAAGTGCTTTAACGTTATAATAGTTCAGGGCGAAAGTGTGTTTTATTAGACTATACATGGTGGTAGGGCGAAGTGTATTTCTTTTCTAAGATGCCAAATTTAATACTTTCTAAAGATAATTACGATTAATTTAAGGCAGAAAACAAACGACGGTGTCGGTGACCTAAATTAAGAATCCTCGCACAGGGCTAACTGGCGCGCTGTTCTATTGATGTGTCTGCCCCCTACGTTAAGACGAACGTTACCAGTAAAAAAACAAATGATAACAGTTTGATGACGGTTTACGTTCGGATTAAATATCTTCTCTGAATTATTTTAATTACATCTGTCATTAACGTAAACCATATGGGGCAATATGAACGTTGCATTTCTACTACCAGCGTAAGTTTAGATCAGTACATCCAGAGGAAGTTGAGTAGTCAAGCGACATTCCACAATTGCATTGTGGGAATGTAAACATTACGATGGTTACCGTGTCGCTGAAAACTTGTGAGTCGAAATGACACATTTTAACCGTCGTAAAACATAAACGTAATGTTTCCACCAGTGATGTTAGCTGCGTGAAGCAACAGCAAACCAAGAAACTGGATGAAACGGTGTAGTTTACTGTAGGAGGCCGTACGAGGCGATGACAACTGACATGCATCGTGACGTCGCTTACATTGTGACGTAATGTAAAATGGTTCGATTACGAGGGGGCAGACTAGAATGGCGCAGTGACGGGATAACGTCATTCAATTGTTACGTCATCAAAAAACTATACCTTTATTGTCTGATAATGTATTTTTTTTTCGATTGTTCTAACCGCTAGGCATCTTAGAAATTGTACTAGTGTAACACCGATAGACGTATGACGTCATAAAGGTTTACAGTTGTGACATTTACAATGCTACTACCTCTGTCACAATGGTATTAGACCTTCCTTGACTCGCAGAAAGCTGAGAGTCATCACACCATAGGCAGTTTCTATCAGTTTATGTTGGAGAGTAATACACAGAATACTAAACTGGCTTCCGTGAAATACCATTTTTATTAAACTCGTGAAAGATTTAGTATCAAACTCGCTTTCGCTCGTTTTCGCTCGTTTGATGCCAAATCATTAACTCGTTAAATGAAAATGGTATTACACGGAAGGTCGGTTAGTATCCTCTATCTACACACTCGTTTTATTTGTAAAGACATGCACGGGAGTACACGACACACATATTCTCTCTCTCTCGCAACCAATACTGCTCAATGCACATACAGTGAGCCTACACCTACTGAAGTGTCCTACAATCACTGCAGGTTACACATAGGAAGAATTCTTGCACACGGAGAATACCACGGTGTTATGTTTGCTTGACTGGGATATTGTCGGCCCTTGGAACCTGCGTATGCGTGTTTTGTTACAGGGAGTCCAGATTGAACCATTTCACCATGTCCATTCAGCAGTTCATTCACACAACCACTGACCCGTGTGGAACGCGACAATATCATCAACAACGATCCAGCCGTAGACGAAATGTTACACCAAGAAGCAATATCAGTTTCGTGCACCTCACAAAGTCGGAATGTTAAAATGTACGTATAATGAACTCTGTATCTGTCCATGGCACTCAGACCGGGAGATTCAGTAAAACGTTTTGATCGGTGTACCCCCCGAAGTCTCGCCCAATTATATGTTGTACTTCACAAAATACAACGGACACTTCTGTCTTGTTTTGCAGGAACCGGGTACAGATGTCGGCCCGGGAAAGCGAAATTTCAATATTCCCTATTCCCGGTAAAGCGAAATCAAAAGTTGTGCTAGAAGTGCCGCGAAAGCGAATTGCTATGAAAACATCGGATTACCGTACTTCAGATTTGCGCACAACCCCAATACTCGATATGTTAGCCCCTTAACTGAGATGAAGTTTCAGTTGTTTCACTGCCTGACTGACTGACTTTGGTTTTACGCCGCTTTAATCAATATTCCAGCAACATCACGGCGGGGGACACCAGAAATGGGCTTCACAAATTGTACCCATGTGGGGATTCGAACCCGGGTCATCGGCGTGACGAACCAACGCTTTAACCACTAGGCTACCCCACCGCCCTTTCAGTTGTTTCAAGTTTCAGCACTTGATCTATGACAAGTTTAAGCATCGGTGTAGGAAAACCCTCCGAGAAAAGAAGTATTGGAGCTGTGTAGTAAAATTTGCTAGTTGTTTGACTTATTTGACTATTTTATTTAATCCAACGTGCAAAGACGGTTGTTCGAGCAGATCTCACTAATTCTCAGTTGTGTTTGTTTACAGCTTTTCTTGTGGTAAATCATCGCACAGACCCACAAGATAATTTTTCTTGATTGGCCTGTTCATCTATTCTCGATATCTAAAAACATATAGTTTCGTTAACATTGATTTTTCTTACAATATGGAAAAATGTGCCCGACATCAGTGGAGATTATTTAAGCAAGTAATCATACGTTACCGTTATAACTCAAAATCTAGCATCCCAGTAAGTCTTCATCACTGTACATTTGGGGTCCGGCGGTCTGTTGTTATACATGTGCCCCAACCAAGCATTCTGTATTTATTCATCTTGCCATAACATTATTCATTACCAGAACTAATACTATAATTACGTTACTATAATTTACGTTACCGTAATTTGTTGGAAATTTGGAAAGTTTCGCGAAACTTTTGTGTTTTCTTGTCTGGCATTGCCGACATATCAAATGTGAATCAAACTTTGACAAGTGAAAGTAGTTTTAGGTTGTTATCGTCCTACATATATAAGTAACGTAAATTACATTGCGGTAACGTAAATAACGTCAATGAATGCTTAACGATGTAAGTTGTCTAAGCACGATATTTTCAATTCCACCTCACCATGATCCATCCATGTGTCTTATCGGTGAACAGTCTGTGGCTCCAACATTTATTGTTATTTAATATTAAAGATTTCTTGTGTATTGAGAGTCCCGGGAACGCGAAATTCAGTGTTAACTGTAGCTTGACCGTTCCCGTGAAAGCGAAACCTAAATTAAGGAGGTTTAGTCCAGATTTCGCTTTCCCGGGCCATAACCATTAGCACCTCTCAAATATGCAAGGTTAATTTATTGTGCATAATTTGTGTAGCTGTAAACTACTGTAGGGAAACTGGGGCGTTACTATGGTAATAATTATCACTATATATACCCAGATATTTATGTATATATTGGAAGTGAGTTATTTTTCATAATTTCTATAGAGTGTTGCTTTAATTCAATGTAACTGAATGTATATATGTGATGAATGATTTGCTGTAAAATAAATTAATGATTAAAACCTGACTAGTTTTTAATTTTTCTACATGGGGATTGCTACAGTCATGCGCAGTGGAATGGAATATATGGAACGTCGCTCATGCCGTCACCCACTGGTTTGCTGCAACAAGGTGGGCTATTTATAGCTGGATTATTGCTAACAGCTATGTCGCAAAACCACAACAAAACCGATGACATTCGCTACAAATTCGCATCCCGAATATATTATAAGGGGTATATTTATCGTTACAAATGCCTTATAATATAAATTATATGAAACGTTTGATTAAATTGTTTATTATTCATTCACATCTTTAATGACCTCGCGGAACCTAACGGTCGAAAAATAGCTGTAAAACAATCTGCGCTTCTCGTAGAGGCGTACAAATGCAGGGCCGAATACAGCTTTTTGAGAGAGTGTGTGTGTGTGTGTGTGTGTGTGTGTGTGTGTGCGTGTACGCGCACTATTGAGAAAGGAGGGATGCACACTTCATTTTCACGAGAGCTTCAATGGTCATTTAATAAACTTTCAGGACAAAAGGGTGGGGTGCGCACCTCCTCCTCCCCTCTCTGGATCCGCCTATGAAACAGAAGGTCATACTCGGTGACCGGGTTGATTGCACATCATTATTTACCGTGGATACTCATGATATCACTCACTGGATTGTCTGGTCTAGACTTGATGATTGGCAGACCGCCGACATATAGCGGAAACACTACGCAGTGCTACATAAAGAAAAAAAAGAAAGTAAAAAAACAAAACCACAGAAAACAAACAAAGCAAACCCAAACAAACAACAAATAGCAAACAGACATGCCTAAAGTTACAGTAAACATATATCCCCTACGTTTCTCTTCAAACACCTCAAGGCCAGAAATCGTTTGTCCCGCTGTGTGATGTGTATTCTGAGACAACATGTCGGTTGTTGTAAACTTGAAAGAAAATTGAATAAAAGGTGGGCTTTATGTGGACTTCAGTTAAAAATTAAACTTAAAGATGCCAACATAATGGGTCTTCAGGCTATTATAATTTATTTAGTTTGAAACAAGAACCGTTTCACACAAATATTATTGCTTGAATTTATAAACACGGTATCTTGCTAAAGTTGAAAGTCAAAATCGATTTGTCCCGTTTGTGTTCAATACGAAGAATGTTGCAATTCGACAGCGCCCATTATCCGGATAATGACGAATGGCTGCCGAAACCTTCCGAATCTTTCCCCAGAGTCGGATGATTGATGTGACCTTAAATGACCCTCAGCCGATGCGCGTAAGGTTACAATACTGAAAGCTGATTGGACGAAGAAGCCGGTTACTCCACAGAACATCCTCGCATGTGCTTCTTGCCATAGCCTCAGCGGCCAAATCGACGCTTGTGTTATCAGCGCTTGTTGGATATAAACGGGGTATTCCGTTATCAAATATCCACACACCCGGGGACCTTCTGATAGAGGTAAGATTACAAGATCGAAGCACAATAGCCATTTCCCGTTTCCCGACACAAGAATCTTTCTTTCTGCTCAGGAAAATCTATGCGGCTGCTACTGTAAGTGAGACAGTTCTATATTGGCAGCATGTCTGTAGATATTCTGTGCATGATTTAGTTTTCCAGCGTTCATTAATATACCCCAGTCATATCCTTGGAGAAGTCCGTTTCATCGACCCCAGGCGTCCATGGCAGGAATTATTATAATTACATCATTGGTACTGTTGTAAGCACGGGCGATGCCTGCAAGCATTCAGTGGCGTATAGAGAGTTTGAATGGTGGTAAACGAAGTGCAGTTTGGTTTTTAGAGTTTATTGTTTATTTCTTCCATTCATGAAACGATCCGCTTGAATGACATACCTGTACAGGTGTCGGTGTTAGGTGACCCGCTACACATGCCGACTCTATTGTGACCGTGACGTCGCTGTACTGTATTGTAGGTTCCTGGATTAATAGACGGGCGTGACAGATTGGCTAATGTGCTGTGGTACAGTGAACGAAATAGTACAATGACATTGGTAGTTGAGTTTAGCTCATAAACGAGGAATTACGATGGCAGTAATTTGACACTCGCTTTAAAATCATATATGCAGAGATAAATGATCCAGATCGAGATATGTACTGCAACGAATACCATGAATGTGTGTGGTAGTTCATCACAGATGTTTCTCAAAGTGTTATGTTATGATTACATATCTGCTGTCAACCATGTCATATGGTTTCATGTCATAAAGTGTAGATTAGTATTCTGAGCAGTGAAGTTTACTCTGTCAGAATAAATAATTCTGTATTTATTTTATATTCGGAAAGGAATTGCAACAATTATGTGTGGACAATAAAATGTGTTTATGCCACTGAACATGTTCACCCAGTTATCTCTACCGACAAATTGTTTACCCAGTTATCTCTACTGACTGACTGACTGACTGACTGACTGAGTTTAGTTTTACGCCGCTTTTAGCAATATTCCAGCAATATCACGGCGGGGGACACCAGAAATGGGCTTAACACATTGTGCCCATGTGGGGAATCGAACCCGGGCCTTCCGCGTGACGAGCCAACGCTTTAACCACTAGGCTACCCCACCGCCCCCTCTACTGACAAATGGTCACCCAGTTATCTCTACTGACAAATGGTCACCCAGTTATCTCGGAAAGATTTCTGCCCGTAAGCCTGATTTTTTAATTTATCATTCTATGCCTAAGAATAGAAGGTTTTTTTTATAAATAATCCCCACCCCCACCCTTAACAAGCAACAAATGGTCACCCTGTTATCTCTACCAGCAAACAGTTACCCTGTTATCTCTACTGACAAATGGTCACCCTGTTATCTCTACCAGCAAACAGTTCACCCTGTTATCTCTACTGACAAATGGTCACCCAGTTATCTCTACTGACAAATGGTCACCCTGTTATCTCTATCAGCAAAATGTGTACCCATTTATCTCTACCAGCAAACAGTTCACCCAGTTATCTCAACTGACTAATGTTCACCCTGTTATCTCTATCAGCAAACAGTTCACCCAGTTATGTCTACCAGCAAACAGTTCACCCAGTTATCTCAACTGACAAATGTTCACCCTGTTATCTCTATCAGCAAAATGTTTACCCTTTTATTTCTACCAGCAAACAGTTCACCCAGTTATCTCTACTGACAAATGGTCACCCTGTTATCTCTATCAGCAAAATGTTTACCCTTTTATCTCTACCAGCAAACAGTTCACCCAGTTATCTCTACCAGCAAACAGTTCACCCAGTTATCTCTACCAGCAAACAGTTCACCCAGTTATCTCTACCAGCAAACAGTTCACCCAGTTATCTCTACTGACAAATGGTCACCCTGTTATCTCTACTGCCAAAATGGTGAGATATTTATCTCAAGAAATCAAGAAAAATACTAATTCCAAAAATCTGTAAATAGCAAAAGTCATTATTTGAGGATCTGTTGGATATATCTGCCAGTTTTCACTGAAAAATATTGAAGATTTTTGACTTGTGCTGTGGATGCGAAATCATTGCAGATGATTGCAGATATCCCTCGCATTAGTTCCCAGATAGTTAGTCAATATTATTGACAGTTGCAGGAATCAGAAAGGGGTGTGTTAACGCAGGGTAGGATACAGAATGTTATTGACAGATGCAGGAATCAGAAAGGGGTGTGTGTTAATGCAGGGTAGGATACAGAATGTTATTGACAGATGCAGGAATCAGAAAGGGGTGTGTTAATGCAGGGTAGGATACAGAATGTTATTGACAGATGCAGGAATCAGAAAGGGGTGGTGTTAATGCAGGGTATGATACAGAATGTTATTGACAGATGCAGGAATCAGAAAGGGGTGTGTTAATGCAGGGTATGATACAGAATGTTATTGACAGATGCAGGAATCAGAAAGGGGTGTGTTAATGCAGGGTATGATAAAGAATGTTATTGACAGATGCAGGAATCAGAAAGGGGTGTGTTAATGCAGGGTATGATACAGCATGTTATTGACAGATGCAGGAATCAGAAAGGGGTGTGTTAATGCAGGGTATGATACAGCATGTTATTGACAGATGCAGGAATCAGAAAGGGGTGTGTTAATGCAGGGTAGGATACAGAATGTTATTGACAGATGCAGGAATCAGAAAGGGGTGTGTTAATGCAGGGTATGATACGGAATGTTATTGACAGATGCAGGAATCAGGAATCAGAAAGGTGTGTTAATGCAGGGTGGGATACAGAATGTTATTGACAGATGCAGGAATCAGAAAGGGGGTGTGTTAATGCAGGGTAGGATACAGAATGTTATTGACAGATGCAGGAATCAGAAAGGGGGTGTGTTAATGCAGGGTATGATACAGCATGTTATTGACAGATGCAGGAATCAGAAAGGTGGTGTTAATGCAGGGTATGATACAGAATGTTATTGACAGATGCAGGAATCAGAAGGGGTGTGTTAATGCAGGGTATGATACAGAATGTTATTGACAGATGCAGGAATCAGAAAGGGTTTGTTAATGCAGGGTATGATAAAGAATGTTATTGACAGATGCAGGAATCAGAAAGGGGTGTGTTAATGCAGGGTATGATACAGAATGTTATTGACAGATGCAGGAATCAGAAAGGGGTGTGTTAATGCAGGGTATGATACAGAATGTTATTGACAGATGCAGGAATCAGAAGGTGTGTTAATGCAGGGTAGGATACAGAATGTTATTGACAGATGCAGGAATCAGAAAGGGTGTGTTAATGCAGGGTAGGATACAGAATGTTATTGACAGATGCAGGAATCAGAAAGGGTGTGTGTTAATGCAGGGTATGATACAGAATGTTATTGACAGATGCAGGAATCAGAAAGGGGTGTGTTAATGCAGGGTATGATACAGCATGTTATTGACAGATGCTGGAATCAGAAAGGGGTGTGTTAATGCAGGGTATGATACAGCATGTTATTGACAGATGCAGGAATCAGAAAGGGGTGTGTTAATGCAGGGTAGGATACAGAATAGTATTGGGGTCAGAAAGGATACAGAATGTTATTGACAGATGCAGGAATCAGAAAGGGGTGTGTTAATGCAGGGTATGATACAGAATGTTATTGACAGATGCAGGAATCAGAAAGGGTGTGTTAATGCAGGGTATGATATTGACAGATGCAGGAATGTGTATTAAGATGAATGTTATTGACAGATGCAGGAAAGGGGTGTGTGTTAATGCAGGGTATGATACAGAATGTTATTGACAGATGCAGGAATCAGAAAGGGGTGTGTATTGCAGGGTATGATACAGCATGTTATTGACAGATGCAGGAATCAGAAAGGGGTGTGTTAATGCGGGGTAGGATACAGAATGTTATTGACAGATGCAGGAATCAGAAAGGGGTGTGTGTTAATGCAGGGTATGATACAGAATGTTATTGACAGATGCAGGAATCAGAAAGGGGTGTGTTAATGCAGGGTATGATACAGCATGTTATTGACAGATGCAGGAATCAGAAAGGGGTGTGTTAATGCAGGGTAGGATACAGAATGTTATTGACAGATGCAGGAATCAGAAAGGGTTGTGTTAATGCAGGGTAGGATACAGAATGTTATTGACAGATGCAGGAATCAGAAAGGGGTTTGTTAGTGCAGGGTATGATAAAGAATGTTATTGACAGTTTCAACCACCAGTAGTGGAGAGGAGGCAGACATATGCCATGCATGAACAAATTCGCACATTGCCAGGGTCCTTGAAACACCATCAGCCATGTTTGTGAGTTATTTACTGAGCTAAACGCTTGCATTTCATGTGTAGAATTAAATATGTTGAGTATTCTGTTAGCATATTCAGAGACTATTTGGGTTACGCCCGTAAGCGCCACTTTAAATGTATTCTATAATAGGATTATTTTGAGGGTTAGTTTTAAGGTTAGTGTTAGGGTCAGGGTCAATGTTTTTTTTATGAAAAACGTCTATTCTTAGGCATAGAATGATAAAAAAACCCGGGGTTACGAGTGGAAATCTTTCCACTATTTGTCATGACATGAGTGACAGTTACTCATGAGAAACACAGCTACTACCCTTTGTTTCACCTGAAGGTGTGTGCTGTTTTCACCCATCTGAAGCTTTTGTTTGCAGTTTTGACCAACCAGAATACCCCCTGTCAAAAAGTAACAAATACCCTAACAACAGACGATATATCATGACATTTGTAAATATACTGACAGTGGTGATAATATAAAAAATACACTCAAGTTTACTTTGAATATTTGGTCAGATGTGTTTCAGGGGAAAAAATAGTTTTTGACAGAAGCAATAAAGCAAGCATCCTCTACTTCAGCCACTCAACAACACAAACAGACCAAGAGGAAATTAACAAACGAACAGAACAGACATAATTATGTCCACGTACCAAAAGTGCTGGTTTATGAAAAATCCACAAAATGTATCCAGGGTATTGAGTATTTAGTTTCCGACCTATAACTGTCCCTATTTAGACTGCTACATTATGGATGTGAGGTCCCAAGCTTATTCTTGGTGGAAAGTCAGTGCTGTATTGCTCTGTTTAGTCAGTTGATCATCAAACATTGTTGCTAAGTTTGCTCGGAGCTCAACCTGAAATAATTGCTGCTCGACTATTCATGAGTTTGTATTTTGGCCTTGCGTGTATTAACACTGACGTAGATCTCGTGCCGTAATCTGCTCAATGTTTTTCGTCAAACAAACAAAGCAAGTCTCCTTTATGTGGATGTGTTTGAAGTTGGTCGTATGTTTGCTGAGTTTACCAGGCACGTACATAGCATGTCTCATGAATATTTACAAGTCTGACATTGCTAGATAGGATCTACCGTGCGGTTGTACTGACAGATCATACAATGTTGCTAGCTATAATTGCAGCTCTTTACAACTCCCAAATTAGTCTGCCAGGCAGTTTGGGGCGGCAAGGTCAACTTTGTTGAAATATAACTGTCGACATATACTAGTGAGTACCAAGCATATTCTAAGGTCAGTGGTGTGGCTGAATTCATGTTCATTTGTTTGTTGTATCTGTTAAATTACGTTCGGCCTATCTACAGTCGCAGTGGTAGGGAGATAGGAAACGGAGTAAAAGGACTTTACTGAGGAGAGATTAGTGCAGAAATAAGCCATGCAGGTTTTTTTCTGAGTCCAAAGCGACTTATTTGGAACTGACCATGACTTTATGCAAATAAGTGTGCGATGATACTGTATTGCAAAGGACACTTTTTTAATGCCTATTTAAAAAATAAACTTATCTTTATTATAAACGATAGCTGACGTAAACTATAATAACTTTAATACTGAAACTATTAAGGATGTAGCAGCTACCATGGAGTCTCACTGTCACTATAAAAAGAAACAGGTAGGAGGGGGTCATCTCAAATGGTGTGTCAGGATGGGTGTCACAGATGGTGGTTGGGGTCGGCTGGGTGATTAAAGCTTTTCTATGGGTATCATACTCTTTTACATATCTCCACATAAACTTTGTGAAAGAAAGACACGTAAGATGTCAATCAATAGATGAGACATATTCAACACACATGAGAAAGCATAAACTATCTTTGAGATGACCCCTTGTGCCCGTAGGCAGCACGTGAATTTCATGTCAGGTGAATCGACGGTCCGTCATACCTGGCTGAGCGACCTAATTGCCATCTATAGTCTGATCTATTGTTTTCAGCAGCTATTCGTATTTTTTCTAAGTTTTGCACAATTTTACGAGTAAACATGCTTTTCTGGATATCCTATTACGCATCCCACCTAACGCCCAGTTAGGCCGATGTGGGTTATGTTGACATATGCTATTTGCAATTGTTTTAATTTTAGAGATACAGAGTAACAGCCTAAAACAGTTTATTTATCTATTTCCGACTACAGTGTACTCTGTCAATACCGGCATCAGTCGGGACCAAATAAAAATGCCGGTTTTGACAGAGTGCCGGTTTAGCTAGGTTCGCTTATGACGCCTGCGCACCCGCCATCAAACGATTCGCCTCTATGTAAGTGACACGTGCCACTCACTAATTAACAAGAAACTGATTGACACTTCCCGTTTCTGAATAATCTCAGGAGTCAATACCCGCGAATCAACACAATGTAAACATTTGCTTGTTTATACAGTCAAACTGCCCACAACATGTATTAATTACTCAGTGTAAGTGTTACGTACCACTCACCGATTAACAAGATACTGATTAACACTTCCCGTTTCTGAATAATCTCGGGAGTCACAGCGAATTGTGTTCTTACATCATTTGGACCTAATTGCATCAAAGGGTTACACCGTCTTTCATGTGCCGGTTTTTACAGATCCGTTTTCATAACAACTTGTTCGTTGGGACTGAAAAACAATGCCGATATCCTGAATAGACAGATGCCGATGTTTACAGAAGTTTCTAAATGATAATAACGTGCATTTCTGCCGGGACTGAAACTTTGTGCCGATGTAGACAGAGTGCCGGTGTTTACAGAGGCCGGTATTGACAGAGTCCACTGTACTTTAGGACAAACCTAGCTTACATGGAGCCTTCACACAAACAGGCAGACCCAGACCCAGACCCAGACCCAGACGCAGACTGACCCAGACCCAGACCCAGACCCAGACGCAGACCCAGACCCAGACCCAGACCCAGGCGCAGACCCAGGCCCAGGCCCAGGCGCCAGGCCCAGGCGCAGAGGCGCAGACATGAGGCGCAGAGCGCAGACACAGACACAGGCCCAGACACAGGCCCAGAGGCGCAGACACAGGCGCAGACACAGGCGCAGAGGCCTTGAGACACAGGCCAGACACAGACGCAGACACAGACACAGACGCAGACACAGACACAGACACACTGCAGACATGGAGACACACCACAGACGAATAAAATTCAGATAGTTATATGCACAGATATACAGACAGACAGATCACAGCTTTCTGTAACTTGTCTGAACCATCAGTGATACTTACTAGGCTGCAGTTTTCTGTATTGACTGTCAAGTAAATGTTTGATTACAAGAGGGATGCTCAATATACCTTACAGGTGGGCCGATACGTGGGGAGCTGTTTGACCCCTGGTTTTGTCGGGCATGGTATACCCCAGTGGTTTGTGTTTCAGGTCCTACAGTTGTTGTCAGCAATGGCCAGCAAGATCCAGCAACTGTTGAAGCAGTATGAAGGTGCAGAGCCAGGTAGGGAAATCTTGCTGTTTCTGTCACCATGGTAACTGGCAATGTCAATCAGTGCACACACCCCTGTTGTCCTCAGCAACTTGTGGATGTACCAGCATGTATTTGTTTTAGTCAGGTCTTGTGTTTGTCATGAGCCTGTGTATCACCAGACAGAACTGACCGCCATTTGAAGGCTGTTTGGTAACAGTGTGAAGACATCAAGTGATCACGAGAGGCTAGTAAATGTGTTGGTTGGTTCGACTCAGTGCCTGGCTGCTTATTACCATCGTATCATGCATTCACGTCAGTTAACACTGCAGTCATACTGTTGAAATAGTGTGAAAATAAATGAAGTAAAATTCCCATTTTGAATTAATCATTTCCCCATTTCTCTTACTTTACCCAAAAATGTTAGAAACAATAATTTCCCAATTTTGTAGCCAAAGGCGCTTAGTTTAATCCCTGAATGATTTGATTAATTTGTCAATATTTTTGTGATACCTAAAGTGAAACCAAATAATCATATTATTGAAACACCATGTGGCAATAAGGGTCCCTGGAACATTTTTATGAATTTGTCTGCATATTATGTTGTCCATGGAGGCAATTGTTGTTGAAATGGACTGGAGGCATGTCTGTGTGGAGTTTTATCTGGAGGTGGTGTGCGTGGACTCCTGGCCAGAGGGGGTGTCTGTGGACTCCTGGCCAGAGGGGGGTGTCTGTGGACTCCTGGTCAGAGGGGGGTGTCTGTGGACTCCCAGCCAGAAGGAACATCTGTGGACTCCTGCAATAAAGTTTTCCACAGCGGTGTCTATCCCATGATGCCATTCTCCCAGCTACATTGGGGAACAGGGTGGAAGGGAGATGAATCTATTGTTTGCATGATGGAGCCTGCAAGCCAGCATGTCTTTGTCAGCTGTTGATGAGATAACGGTGGCCAGATCGACCGTGTCAAGGAATCATTGCCCCGATGTTAAAAGTTGAAGATTTGCTGCTAACTGCTCCAAAACTGTCCATTTTGTTGAAAACTTGCAACTTCAATACAAAAGTGTGATTTCTTTCTTAATTCATATGAAATGTGTACCAATCCATGAATATATTATCACAAGTGTTTTTTTTGTGTTTTTTTTATTTGTTTTTTTTACGGGTATTCATATAGTGTTAAATTTTCATAGACAACAGTAAAGACATATATTTTTCCTTATCCTGACTCATGATCTTTTGCTTATCTCCCTTTTCCTTGCGAATGGTAGTGGAACACTTGAATCACTTGTAGTTCGGCGGACGTAAAATAAACTCACCCGAGTTGCCTCCCTTCCCTTTTCCTTGCGAACAGTCATGTGACCAGCCTTACTTGTCACTCTCTCCCTTTTCGCCCAAGGAGTCCCGTATACGGCAGATATCCTTTATATTTCGATCCTATTTATCAAAATTACGCTGTGTATGGTATTTGGCTATAACTATCATGTATTAGTTGTATAAATTTTGAAGAAATGATTGTAATTTGTTACACTTTCTCATTGTAATGTAACTTGTTTACATTTCATGAAATCTTGCATTGTTTGCAGGCACCGTCTGTCAGTGGCTGATCCTCACCCCCGATGCCCATCGTGCATTAAACCATGTTCTTCCACCTCACGTTGTATATATTGCAGTGATTAATCAAATTTACAATTAAATAAATATTTGTCTTATATCTATGGACGTGCCATTGATCGGGTGAGGAAGTCATCACAAGTCACGGTTGATAAACCTGGAGATCAAGCCAGTAACCGTAGGTGTTTGCTGCTGCAGAGATACATAATTCTGGTGCTATGTTGAGTACGTTGCAGGGGCAGTCGTCTGTTACAGGGTCGAAGAAGAGGTCTGCTACGACGGAGTTGACGCCCTCTCAGAGCAAGAAAAAGACTACTGCTTCATCCACAACGCAGAAAAGGGCATCCATAACTAGGTCTACATCGAAATCAACACGACCTAGCAAGTCAACTCATCAGAGGTCGTTTAATGAGGAGATTATCCTACCCCACGAGGCAGACTTGTTTGATTGACCTCTGTTACTTCTGCCTGAAGTACCTACTAGATCGGCGACGCAGTCGACCTTCACGACTACTAGATCGTCTGCAACTACAACAGCGGGCCAGCTGTTTGACGACCAACCACCAACTTCTCAGTGAAGTTGAAGCACATAACACATCAGCGTTCGCGAACGCTTCAACAACACCGAATCAGTTCCAGTCAACGTTGAACTTCGATCCAGGCGACTTTATGAGGCAATTTACTACTCAAGTGATGGCCATGATGGAACGACGTTTTGATTGAGGAAGCGAAGGCACGACAGGAATGCTCACCAACTGACAACGTTCACAAACCCTGACCTATGCAAACCTAATACGCCTCACAGATCTACATCTGCAGACAACGTTGGCGAAACGTGAACGTTCGAGAAGGTCATCACAATCGGACGACTCTGTCATCATAGAACAAGATGGAAGGTCCGCGAAGGCTACTAACGCTACGAGAACTTCGTCTGCGAACCCTCAACGTTCGAGAACGCCTAGGAATCCATCCCCAAGAGCCAAGCCGTTCTAGATATACATCCCACAGCTCTCACACGCATAGAGAAGGTTCGAGAGAGGTTCGCTAAGGAATGGATCAGGAGACAGAGGTTCAAGAAGGGATGAATCACGACATTCGCGAAGGCATAGTTCTACGGAACAAGAACTATCTGATGAACAGGCAGACTATGTCTTCTCAGATACGGAGGTTACAGCTTGGATAGCTAATGGATTAAACTTAGAGTCTCCCTCCAAGGAATTGGACGAAGTTTATACATATAAGATGTGCAAGGACGACTTCGACTCAGTCACCATTCCTCCTATTGAGCCTGTATCCAAGGTGCCTTCGAATCTATGCACATCTTTTGACAAAGCTACTAGATTCCAGAATCAACATCTGGCAGCATTTAATGCGAGAAATTCACCTTACATCACATGGACCCCTTCATGAGAGCGCCAGACTTAGATGAAAATATAAAACTGGTCAACGACTCTCGGAACAAGGTCTACAAGGTGGGGGATAAAAAGAAGATAGAATGATATTATCTGCTCTGCTCACTCAGAAAAAGGACCAACACTTTATATCGGATCATTTGGCCTCAACGTCGGAGGGTCTCACCTTATTACGGAGACAGGGTCTACTGACATCGTGTTCCTGACAGATTCCTGACAGATTCACCCAACCGCTACTTAGAGCTCCTTGGGCGGCACCTACCATCTTCAGAGGTGAGATAGATGAAGCAGCTAAGGAAGTTACTCAAGACTCAAGGGAAGTCATGATGATCAAGTCTATAGATACTCTAGCCAACGTCATCCGTCATACTTCACAGAAGTACAACAGCAAGTTGAAATATTCCGGTATCCAGAAGGTTAAGGAGAAGAAGTACTCCAACTTCAGAGGTGGGAAAAGCCCTTTTCGTCGCCCATCCGGAAACTACAGAGGATACTCAGGGAGAGGACGTACTCCCAGAGGTTTCAGAGGGGCTAGACGCTGAGAAAGTGGGGATGGAACGACTGGATGCTTCCACCCCAGCCATTCCTGTAAACCATCAACAGTGGGTGGAAGGGAGATGAATCTATTGTTTGCATGATGGAGCCTGCAAGCCAGCATGTCTTTTGTCAGCTGTTGATGAGATAACGGTGGCCAGATCGACCGTGTCAAGGAATCATTGCCCCGATGTTAAAAGTTGAAGATTTGCTGCTAACTGCTCCAAAACTGTCCATTTTGTTGAAAACTTGCAACTTCAATACAAAAGTGTGATTTCTTTCTTAATTCATATGAAATGTGTACCAATCCATGAATATATTATCACAAGTGTTTTTTTTGTGTTTTTTTTATTTGTTTTTTTTACGGGTATTCATATAGTGTTAAATTTTCATAGACAACAGTAAAGACATATATTTTTCCTTATCCTGACTCATGATCTTTTGCTTATCTCCCTTTTCCTTGCGAATGGTAGTGGAACACTTGAATCACTTGTAGTTCCCGAAGCGGACGTAAAAATAAACTCACCCACGAGTTACTTCCCTTTCCCGCGCGAACAGTCATGTGACCAGCCTTACTTGTCACTCTCTCCCTTTTCGCCCAAGGAGTCCCGTATACGGCAGATATCCTTTATATTTCGATCCTATTTATCAAAATTACGCTGTGTATGGTATTTGGCTATAACTATCATGTATTAGTTGTATAAATTTTGAAGAAATTATTGTAATTTGTTACACTTTCTCATTGTAATGTAACGTGTTACATTTCATGAAATCTTGCATTGTTTGCAGGCACCGGCTATCAGTGACTGATCCTCACCCCCAATGCCCATCGTGCATTAAACCATGTTCTTCCACCTCACGTTGTATATATTGCAGTGATTAATCAAATTTACAATTAAATCAATATTTGTCTTATATCTATGGACGTGCCATTGATCGGGTGAGGAAGTCATCACAAGTCACGGTTGATAAACCTGGAGATCAAGCTAGTAACCGTAGGTGTTTGCTACTGCAGAGATATATAATTCTGGTGCTATGTTGAGTACGTTGCAGGGGCAGTCGTCTGTTACAGGGTCGAAGAAGAGGTCTGCTACGACGGAGTTGACGCCCTCTCAGAGCAAGAAAAAAGACTACTACTTCATCCACAACGCAGAAAAGGGCATCCATAACTAGGTCTACATCGAAATCAACACGACCTAGCAAGTCAACTCATCAGAGGTCGTTTAATGAGAAGATTATCCTACCCCACGAGGCAGACGTGTTTGATTGACCTCCGTTACTTCTGCCTGAAGTACCTACTAGATCGGCGACGCAGTCGACCTCCACGACTACTAGATCGTCTGCAACTACAACAGCGGGCCAGCTGTTTGACGACCAACCACCAACTTCTCATTGAAGTTGAAGCACACAACACATCAGTGTTCGCGAACGCTTCAACAACACCGAATCAGTTCCAGTCAACGTTGAACTTCGATCCAGGCGACTTTATGAGGCAATTTACTACTCAAGTGATGGCCATGATGGAACGACGTTTTGATTGAGGAAGCGAAGGCACGACAGGAACGCTCACCAACTGACAACGTTCACAAACCCTGACCTATGCAAACCTAATACGCCTCACAGATCTACATCTGCAGACAACGTTGGCGAAACGTGAACGTTCGAGAAGGTCATCACAATCGGACGACTCTGTCATCATAGAACAAGATGGAAGGTCCGCGAAGGCTACTAACGCTACACGAACTTCGTCTGCGAACCCTCAACGTTCGAGAACGCCTAGGAATCCATCCCCAAGAGCCAGCCGTTCTAGATATACATCCCACAGCTCTCACACGCATAGAGAAGGTTCGAGAGAGACTAGTTCGCTAAGGAATGGATCAGGAGACAGAGGTTCAAGAAGGGATGAATCACGACATTCGCGATGGCATAGTTCTACGGAACAAGAACTATCTGATGAACAGGCAGACTATGTCTTCTCAGATACGGAGGTTACAGCTTGGATAGCGAATGGATTAAACTTAGAGTCTCCCTCCAAGGAATTGGATGAAGTTTACACATATAAGATGTGCAAGGACGACTTCGACTCAGTCACCATTCCTCCTATTGAGCCTGTATCCAAGGTGCCTTCGAATCTATGCACATCTTTTGATAAAGCTACTAGATTCCAGAATCAACATCTGGCAGCATTTAATGCGAGGAAATTCCCCTTACATCACATGGACCCCTTCATGAGAGCGCCAGACTTAGATGAAAATATAAAACTGGTCAACGACTCTCGGAACAAGGTCTACAAGGTGGGGGATAAAAAGAAGATAGAATGATATTATCTGCTCTGCTCACTCAGAAAAAGGACCAACACTTTATATCGGATCATTTGGCCTCAACGTCGGAGGGTCTCACCTTATTACGGAGACAGGGTCTACTGACATCGTGTTCCTGACAGATTCCTGACAGATTCACCCAACCGCTACTTAGAGCTCCTTGGGCGGCACCTACCATCTTCAGAGGTGAGATAGATGAAGCAGCTAAGGAAGTTACTCAAGACTCAAGGGAAGTCATGATGATCAAGTCTATAGATACTCTAGCCAACGTCATTCGTCATACTTCACAGAAGTACAACAGCAAGTTGAAATATTCCGGTATCCAGAAGGTTAAGGAGAAGAAGTACTCCAACTTCAGAGGTGGGAAAAGCCCTTTTCGTCGCCCATTCGGAAACTACAGAGGATACTCAGGGAGAGGACGTACTCCCAGAGGTTTCAGAGGGGCTAGACGCTGAAAGTGGGGATGGAACGACTGGATGCTTCCACCCCCAGCCATTCCTGTAAACCATCAACAGTGGGTGGACGTCTACAAAGGTACTGGGAAAATTGGGGAATAAGGGGGGACGACTATGTCTCACAAGTACTGCGAGAAGGGTACAGAGTGCAGCTCAAGGCCACACCACCGTTAACCCTCAGACCGATAGTCTTCGACTATGCAGACGAGCAAGCAGACAAGCTACAAGAAGCCATCAACTCACTTCTAACCAACAATGCGGTAGAGAGAATAGATCAACATCATCTCACGCCAGGCTTCTACTCCCCAATTTTCCTAGTACCCAAGAAGAATTCCAAAGAGAAATTCAGGTTGATTTACAACATGCGGAAATTCAACCAAGACTATCTACTCAAACCAGAGAGGTTCAGAATGATCCTACTACCTCAACTCAGACTACCCGTCCGTCCAGCAGATTACATGGCCAGCATAGACCTTCAGGATGCATATCTACACATCCCCATACATCCGGAATCAAGGAAATATCTAAGATTCCTATTCAGAGGTCAGCACTTCCAATGGAACGTCCTACTGTTTGGAATATCATCGGCTCCATGGTTATTCACACGAATAACCAAGCCTATAGTTGCCTACCTACATCATCGAGGTCTACGCAATGCCTTTTACCTGGACGACAGCATACAGGTTCATCAAAGTGCCAATCAACTCAGACAGCAGCTGAACTTCACAATCAAGTTGCTCACGCACCTAGGATGGCTAGTGAACCTGATGAAGTCGGAGTTGGAAACAAAGCAAGATCTGCAATTCCTGGGGATAAGATTCATCATAACACAGAATCGAATTGTGACCCCAGAAGATTGTTGGGTCAAGATACAAGCCATGATTTCTTAAGCAGTCATCTCTCCGTTAACACTACGAACATGGCAATGTCTACTCGGTCGACTACCCTCAGCACAAGACTTGACTCGCACAGTAGATCCAGGTGCATAGGCAGAAAAATCAGGAGAGACTGACAAGTAGGGCTGGTCACATGACTGTTTGCACGGGAGAAGGGAGGTAACTCGTGGACGCGAGTGTCTTTTTATGTCCGCTTCGGGAACTACAAGGGATTCAAGTGTTCCACTACCCTTCGCAAGGGAAAGCGAGATAAGCAAAAGATCATGTGTCAGGATAAGTATAAAATATCAATTTTACTTAAAAAATTACATGTCTTTGAATTTATGTTGATTCTCATTTAACATGTTTAAGACTATTGCCTTGCATGATATTCAGCTCCAAGTCTACAGCAAACATGTTTGTATTTTTCTGATAACATTACCACTAGAGGGGCGGTAGGGTAGCATAGTGGTTAAAGTGTCTGCTCGCCATGCCGAGGCCCCAGGTTCAATTCCCCACATGGGTACAACGTGTGAAGCTCATTTCTGGGGCCCCCAACCGTAACATTGCTAAAAGCGGCGTAAAACCATACTCACTCACTCTTTACTGCTAGACATGTTAGAGGGGAATACATCTTGATGCATACTGGTAGTCCTACACTATTACACAGACTGTGTGGTTGAAGTGTCTCGGAGTTAGTGAGGGGCTGTTGTGCTGATGGTGTGCTATGTTGTTTCAGATCCACGCACACGGCACTGGTTGATGATCTCGGACAGCCCGGTGCCTGTGTGGGTGGCGACGGCGCTGTACCTGCTGATGGTGCTGGTGGGACCACGCATCATGAAGAACCGTCAGCCATTCTCCCTGCAGTGGCTAATGGTCGTCTACAACCTGGGACTGGTCGTGCTCTCCGTGTACATGTTCATCGAGGTAGTGCATCAGAGACAGTTCTGATTGGCTCCTGAAATGTGTTAATGGAAGTTATCCTAAATGTCTTTTGTAAAACCATGATTATGTATCTTCTGAATGAAAACAAACATGAAAACTTGAAAGTGCTTGATGCTGTCACTGTGAATATATAGACCATCTGACCGTGGTCTTTTGTCTAGTACAAGTGAATGAATGACTCTGACTGACAACACAACATTTCTACTTTATTGCAGATCATCGTGAGTGTGGTGGATGCAGGCTACGACATGTGGTGCGCCACCTACAACCCAGGCAGCTGGACCAATCCGAAGGAGATGAGGGTACGTTTCAGGTCAAATCTAGCTGCTAGTGAAAGGGGACCACCCTCCTCCCAGGCTTGGTGCCGGTTCGAGTCTGGGTCTGGACACCTTCCTCCCAGGCTTGGTGCCGGTTCAGAGTCTGGGTCTAGACACCTTCCTCCCAGGCTTGGTGCCAGTTCGAGTCTGGGTCTAGACACCTTCCTCCCAGGCTTGGTGCCGGTTCGAGTCTCAAGGAGTCTGGAGTCTGGACACCTTCCTCCCAGGCTTGGTGCCGGGTTCGAGAGTCTGGGTCTAGACACCCTCCTCCCAGGCTTGGTGGCGGTTCCAAGGTCTGGAGTCTGGGTCTGGACACCTTCCTCCGGGTTCGAGGTCTGGTGCCGGTTCGAGTCTGGGTCTAGACACCCTCCTCCAAGGCTTGGTGCGGTTCTGAGTCTGGGTCTAGACACCTTCCTCCCAGGCTTGGTGCCGGTTTGAGTCTGGGTCTAGACACCTTCCTCCCAGGCTTGGTGCCGGTTCGAGTCTGGGTCTAGACACCTTCCTCCCAGGCTTGGTGCCGGTTCGAGTCTGGGTCTAGACACCTTCCTCCCAGGCTTGGTGCCGGGAGTCTGGCTGTTCACCTTCCTGGGTCTGGTGCCGGTTCAGGCTTGGTCCCGAGTCTGGGTCTGGACACCTTCCTCCCAGGTCTGGTGCGGTTCGAGTCTGGGTCTAGACACCTTCCTCCCAGGCTTGGTGCCGGTTCTGGAGTCTGGACACCTCCCTAGACAGGCTTGGTGCGGTTCGAGTCTGGGTCTAGACACCTTCCTCCCAGGCTTGGTGCCGGTTCGAGTCTGGGTCTAGACACCTTCCTCCCAGGCTTGGTGCCGGTTTGAGTCTGGGTCTAGACACCCTCCTCCAAGGCCTGGTGCCAGTTTGAGTCTGGCTGTTCATCATAAAATGTGTGTAGATTAGGGTTTCTAGGGTGTCCCACCCTTGCATCAGTAATAAGATACCCCTCACTCTACTAGGTGTTGTAATCCAGAGCAGAGCCTGTGGGTAGCCCAGTGGAGACTGTGGGTAGCCCCATGGAGATTAGAGACTGTGGGCAACCCAGAGGAGACTGTGGGTAGCCACATGGAGACTGTGGGTAGCCCCATGGAGACTGTGGGTAGCCCCATGGAGATTAGAGACTGTGGGCAACCCAGAGGAGACTGTGGGCAACCCAGATGGAGACTGTGGGTAGCCCCATGGAGACTGTGGGTAGTCCCATGGAGATTAGAGACTGTGGGCAGCCCAGAGGAGACTGGGGGCAGTATATGTTGTTTAGTGGTCTGACACACATGTTCTCTTTTCTTAGGTCGCCAAGGTGATGTGGTGGTACTTCTTTTCCAAAGTGATTGAATTTAATGACACGCTCCTTATGATCCTACGTAAAAAGTTCAACCAGATCACATTCCTACATGTCTTCCACCACGCCACCATGCTGAACATCTGGTGGTGGGTCGTCATGTTCATCCCTGGAGGCATGTGTGAGTATATCCATATACCTGTAGTGTTGTATACCCATACACTTGCAGTGTTGTATATCCATATACCTGTAGTGTTGTATATCCATATACCTGTAGTGTTGTATATCCATATACCTGTAGTGTTGTATACCCATACACTTGTAGTGTTGTATATCCATATACCTGCAGTGTTGTATATCCATATACCTGCAGTGTTGTATATCCATATACCTGTAGTGATGTATATCCATATACCTGTAGTGTTGTATATCCATATACCTGTAGTGTTGTATATCCATATACCTGTAGTGTTGTATATCCATATACCTGTAGTGTTGTATATCCATATACCTGTAGTGTTGTATATCCATATACCTGTAGTGTTGTATATCCATACCTGTAGTGTTGTATATCCATATACCTGTAGTGTTGTATATCCATATACCTGTAGTGTTGTATATCCATACACCTGTAGTGTTGTATATCCATATACCTGCAGTGTTGTATGTCTATATAGCTGTAGTGTTGTATGTCTATATACCTGTAGTGTTGTATATCCATATACCTGCAGTGTTGTATATCCATACACCTGTAGTGTTGTATTCCGTATACCTGTAGTGTTGGGGAATGCGTGAGTACATCCATACCCTTAGAGATTCTGGGCACAGTAGGTCTCTATCTCATTATGCAGTAGCTGAGAATGTTAGATCTTTCACATTGTGATCTGGTGATTGGGCATGTGTTCAGTCCCCTACCAGTCCAGCCTTCAATCTTTGCTTTACAGAGAATGTGTAATCCTAAATACAACATATCTTACATTTTCTGGAACATTTTGAAACAACGTGTGGCATGACATACTGAGTATACTAAACAATATATTGCAGCCTGGTTCGGCAGCTGGCTCAACTGCCTCGTCCACATCGTCATGTACTCCTACTACGGCCTGTCTGCCATCCCCGCGCTTCGAGGCAAGCTCTGGTGGAAGAAGTATATCACCAAGTTCCAGTTGGTCAGTTGGAGTTATCTCCCTTTATGCATATTTTGTTGTCATTGGATCGGAAAATTACTCAAGGAAATAACATTAGAGTCTTATAGGAACCATCATGGCAGCCACAGTGAAACACAGATTAACTAACATTGCTTGTTTTTTTCAACATAGATTGAACTTGGTGTAGTTAGGGATCGTTAAAAAGTTATGGCTAGGGGTGATGATGATTTTTATGGAGAAGCATGTACAATATTTATATAAATGACCCCTTCCCCTAAAATTGACGTACAAAGTAAATGATCCCCCTTGCATGTCATGTACAAAACTGCTCCCCCCCCTAGTACATGTGTACAAACTTGATCAATCCTCTTCTTTAACAAGTGTATCAGATGGTCAGGTTCAGCGACTGTTGTTGCATGTTGTTTTACTCTGTCGCAATTACACAAACAGTGATGTCTCGTGGGTCCGTGATGTAGATTTCTATTTCTTCTCTTCCAGTTGCAGTTCTGCATAACGTTCACCCACACGGCCAACTCACTTCGAGTGTCATGTGACTTCCCACGCTGGGGTCAGTGGCTCCTCACGATCTACATGGTGGCCATGTTGTGCTTGTTTGGAAACTTCTACATACAGGCGTATATACGGAAACATAAAAACACCCACTCCCTGGCGGCGGTCCCTGGAAAAGTGAACGGTGTCACAGGTGGAAATGGAAAGAAATATATGAATGGACAAAGAAATGGCTATATACAGCATGCAAAGGCAGAGTAGCTTCCCCTTATTCCATGTTCACGTTTACTGATTTGTAAATAGTTGCTTTATACGATGCCAGGTTAGAGGGCAGCTGGCAAGGTCAGCTGGCAAGGACGACAGTTGACCTCTGAACTTGGTGATGGTGAAAGTATGAGCAGTGATTTGTTTTTGATCTGGTAACCATAGTAATTGTTTCCGGTGATATATCTTTAATCAAACAGTGATGGCTGGGAGTGCAAGTAATGTTTGTACAGCTCTTCTGTAGGCAATCATGTTGACTTGTCGTTATTGGTTGACTCGATATGTGATGCTGTTGCTTGGTTTGTAATAGTGATAATATTGATTACCTCGATATCGGGAGCGCTATTGATTACCTCGATATCGGGAATGCTATTAATTAGCTTGATGTCAGGAACACTATTAATTGGCTTGATATCAGGGACACTATTAATTGGCTTGATATCAGGGACACTATTAATTAGCTTGATATCAGGATCGCTATTAATTGGCTTGATATATGGAACACTATTAATTGGTTTGATATCAGAAATGCTATTAATTGGCTTGATATCAGGGACACTATTAATTAGCTTGATATCAGGATCGCTATTAATTGGCTTGATATCAGAAACACTATTAATTGGCTTGATATCAGAAACACTGTTAATTGGCTTGATATCAGGAAATGCTATTAATTGGCTTTGATATCAGGGACACTATTAATTGACTTGATATCAGGAGCGCTATTAATTGGCTTGATATCAGAAACACTGTTAATTCGCTTGATATCAGGAAAGATATTCATTGGCTTGAGGCTTTGATATCAGGAGAGCTATTAATTGGCTTGATATCAGAAACACTGTTAATTATTGATATCAGGAGCGCTATTAATTGACTTGATATCAGGATTGCTATTCATTGGCTTGAGATGGCTGTTAATTAAGCTTGATATCAGGATTGCTATTCATTGGCTTGAGATCGGGAACACTGTTAATTCGCTTGATATCAGGATTGCTATTCATTGGCTTGATATCATTAAACCTGTTGTTTCTCTTGATGTCGGTAACATTCAAGTGTATGAACTACCCATATTTGATTTCTCACATTGGTACATTATTTCAAACCAATTGGTTTGATAAGATACCAGTTGCTGTAACAAGTAAAACTCATTGACAGTTTATAAAAAAAGTGATTAAAAGAAGAAAATATGACAACATAGGGTGAATATTGTGCTTGCTAATTATCTTATGTGAAAATCATCAAAGTGCATCTACAGTGGAGTCAGAAACGTGGTGTTACCATGGTTACCTGCACTTATATTCAGGAATGAGTATCTGGCAAAATGCAATTAAGACAGGAAGTCATGATGGTCACTCCATATGATTCCAGACCAAATTTGGTTATACCTCCAGTTGTCATTTGTTGAAAGCCACTGATATGATATCGCAAGTCTGTGAGAGTATGGGAGTAAAGCCAGCCGTAACACTAGGATCACTTCGTGCACACGGTGACTGCTTCTCAGGGAACGCCCTCCTGATGGGGACCACATGCACATATATGGGCAGGATTCCTTGGATGTAGACATTGATATCATTTAGACATTCTAGATATGCTTTCACACTTTCATCAGATCTTGCTTGCTTGTGATTATCTCACCAAGTTTTACAAATCTTGAGTCTTGTCATTGCTCCGGACTGTGACAGTTGTTGATCGTTTTGTTGTTACCATAGTTACAGTGTTGTTATTGCCTAGACGCAAATAATTCCGGTAACGGAGGTAGTCACGTTCTCACTTTGTTGAAATATGTTTGTAATATTTTTGTTTGCATCACTGTTTATGTCATCTGGATATTCCACGGTCAGCAAAACGCATGTCATGTATGTTGTGTTGGTACTGAGTGAGGTGAGGTGCCATATATTCCACGCTGTGCTGTGCCGGATGACGTGTTCATGATGCATAATACCAGTTCTTGCTGTGTTCCGGTGACTATGGAAATTCCTGTTGATTTCCAGTGATATAATGAAGTAGTCAAGTATGAGAACAAATGCACTGCATACAACTTTTGTCCTGTCTTCTTCAGATTTGTGTTTTTCAGATTTTCTTTTTATCTGAAATATATTTATATTCATTTGAGACCGATATCCTGAGAAAGTCTTTAATGAAGTTTTGCAAAAACTATGAACAAAATTGTTGACATTTTTAATGAAAAAAGAGCAGATTAATTTCGAAAAATGATTTTTTCTTAATGTTTTGCTACAGTGAGTAGACTTGCCCTGAAAACACAAAAATAGTCCAAGAATTTATATTTAAATGTACCAATGTCCTGTAGAAGAATCTACATGTGTTTTGATGGTTATACAGAACTGTGTGTTAAGGAATCACAGCACCTGTAGGACCTTCCCAACTGTCGAGGTAACTGGCTGGAGTTCACTATGTATATTGGCGAGTCAGCATTATTTACATGATGTTTATCACAACAACCTGTATGTGTTCGGAGGCAGACATTGTCCATGAATGATATTCAGTTTTCAGTTTTGTACCATTTTGTTTTTTGTGTATTCAGAATTGCTCCATGTTTACATGTGGTTACATTACATGATCTCATACTGTGGACAGATAAACAAATACTCGGAGATAAGCGTTTCATTACTTTCCTTAAGTTGGTGTATGTAAGTATTCTACTCAAAAGGAAAACTGAAAGAAGGCAGATAGTTTCCTTTGCCTGTGTATCTGCCATGGCTGTGGCTGGGTGGGGGGGGAAGTTCTGCCCTCACTGGAGTAGTTTATAGAACAACATTTCTACTTACATATATCAGTTTTCTAAGGTTTTGAATATAAGGTCCCATTGCATTTTGTCCAAAATTGAGATTATTTTCAAGTTCTGATCCTTTAAAAATCACAGGAATGCATTCTATGCAGTTTTATAGAACTATGTATGAAATCGTTTGTTTTTACCTGTGGTATCGGTGAGCACAAGACAAATATTGATACGTCTTTGATAACCTGTAAATGGTTAATTCGAAGATAGCAGCGTTTGTTGTTGGACTGGAATATCAGCCTGACTGACAATATAATGGATGTTGACATACTGTAAGTATTGATATCCATTGTATCTCATTATGGTCTTGTTCAAGAGAGGAGAGGTGTGGGTGGAGGACGAGTATCGGTGGTATCGGCTGGTGGTATCGGGTGGTATGCCAACACAGCAGTTCAACATGTGGTTGAACCCAGTTAACAATGCCTGATGTTAGTGTCCCAATGACGTCCCAACATGTTGCTTGAAACAAGTTCATCAAACTAAGTTCACTTCTCAAGAGAAGAATTAGAGTATGAAATCCTGCTACAGGAACTGATTGTCAACCTGTCTGATCAAGTCCACGGGCAGCTGTGCAACTAACATATGTATTGGAGGGATTGTTCTATGTGCTGGGATCACATCACACCACATTGACCTAGGCAGTGTTTGAACTATAGCTGCCCGACATCTGTTGGGGGGACCAGTAGTTTTCTAGAGGGGCCAGTAATTTTCTTGGGGGCCAGTACCTGCAAACCCCCAGTCCTGCCTGAGTAGTATACACAATGGGGGTACGGGACCAGGTCTCCCAAGGGCTCAATTTTTTCAGAATTTCGAACATCAGTTTTTTGCTAGAATTTTGATTTTAATTCAAGCAAAATTCTAGCAAAAAAATGATGTTCGAAATTCTGAAAAAATGAGCCCTTGGGAGCACCTTGTCCCGTAGCCCCATTGTGTATACTACTGCCTGCCTTGTAACATCAGTTAATATTTCAAGTTTTTAGGAAACCAGATTTTTAGCACTTCTATTGCACTTGAAAATGTTAGTTAGAAGTTCAGTTTGTACTCATTTCACTAGTCTGACTAGTCACTCCCCCACATTTGTTATGGGGATGACGGTACCCTAGTCCCAGAAAACTTCAGTGATGTTCATCTGCATATTGATGAAAGTGTAGCTGATCTGATATCGGACAACCTCTATGGAGGTTGCTGGACAGACAGTCAGTCCACACAAGTACAGGCAGATGCACAATGCGGTGTACGTGCAATAATCACTAAACCCCACTTGACTGATAATTCCAAGCTGTTTTGCAAGTTTTGATGTAAGCTGCCTGGACAGTAGTTCGTGTCTGTCTGTTGAAGCCTTCCTTCACCCTGTTCCCTGTGTGTCCACAACCAACTGTTGAGTGTTGTCGTGAAGGTGGTCTAGTGTTGTGGTGGTGGTTCCCTGTTGAGTGTTGTCGTGAAGGTGGCCTTCCTTCACCCATGTTCTACTGTAGTCCACAACCAACTGTTGAGTGTTGTGGTGAAGGTGGCCTTCCTTCACCCATGTTCTACTGTAGTCCACAACCAACTGTTGAGTGTTGTGGTGAAGGTGGCCTTCCTTCACCCATGTTCTCACCCATGTTCTACTGTAGTCCACAACCAACTGTTGAGTGTTGTGGTGAAGCCTTCCTTCACCCATGTTCTACTTAGTCCACAACCAACTGTTGAGTGTTGTCGTGAAGGTGGCCTTCCTTCACCCATGTTCTACTGTAGTCCACAACCAACTGTTGAGTGTTGTGGTGAAGGTGGCCTTCCTTCACCCATGTTCTACTGTAGTCCACAACCAACTGTTGAGTGTTGTGGTGAAGGTGGCCTTCCTTCACCCATGTTCTACTGTAGTCCACAACCAACTGTTGAGTGTTGTGGTGAAGGTGGCCTTCCTTCACCCATGTTCTACTGTAGTCCACAACCAACTATGCAGCCTGACTTAGTACTGCTCATGTGACGTGTCGATGTTCAATAAAGATCTGCGGTGAATCCGTGCTGGTTGTTTGTATGTCACAGTGGAGGAACATTTCAGTGTCCCTTTACAGCACATGTCAGGACCTGTGATGACAGGACAGATCCAGCACATCCAGGGATTCCAGGACAGACTGTGCCCCCAGCACATCCAGGGATTCCAGGACAGACTGTGCCCCCAGCACATCCAGGGATTCCAGGACAGACTGTGCCCCCAGCACATCCAGGGATTCCAGGACAGACTGTGAGAACAGACAATGGCACCAGCATCCAGGGATTCCAGGACAGACTGTGCCCCCAGCACATCCAGGATTCCAGGACAGTTGCCCTTTGACATGTCCAGGGATTTGAGAACAGACAATGGCACCAGCACATTAAGGGTTTGGGCGAGGGATGGTGGGTGTCTGGAGCCCGGCTACAGATGTTCTCCAGCTACACTGGCTGCTGCTCCAACTATCATTATCATCTGGTGTTCATAACCAAAAGACTTGACAGTAACAAGAACTAGTTTTCAAAGGGATAACACAAGGACTGGTTGGTTTGGAGTCGATACACTATGAGTTAGCATCCCAGAGTTTACCGTAAATACCAATGTAAGTGGGCTGTCATTTGATAACACACATCACTGTAACAGTAGCAGCATTATACCACAGGCTGCTCTCGTATAGTGTGATGTTAACCAACAAACCTACACTCAAACAAAACGGCTATCACAGTCGTGTTGTTTATTCTTTCACATAAATTATATACACATAAATATATACAAATTAATTCTCTGCACATCAGAAATCATAGGACCCTACATCTGGAATTAGCAGGAAGGAAAATGGTCATTGTACAATATCTCTGTATGTCAAAACTTTGATTATTTCACAAAATACTTCCCACATTTGAGAAGACCTGTCCATGGTAACTGGGGGATACCTGGATGTGTGAAGTCATCTCCACAGTTAGTGTCAGTTCATTCACAGCAAGTATCTGCTGGGTTTCTACTCCACAAGGTTGTCCTAGGAACTGAACAAGTGTGGGGTGGGTGGCTACAGACCTTCCTCACTCACCCACAGTTTTCATTAAACAAACAAGATGGATGTGCCAATGACAGCATCACGTTCTGTAACGATAATTTGGTTTGACTTGAATATAGGGGTTGTACAGGGGCTAGTGTTTCATCTGGTTTGCTTCTTATCACAGAGGGCAGGTGAGTTGCCATTGCACACAGTCCCAGCTGGTCAGGTGATGTTGACTCCGGTGACGATGGGTTCACGCTAGGGGTGGGATGGGACTTAGGGCGTCCGTGCCAAACAACGACTCAAACTGTCGCACATACTGCTCACAGTAGTCACCTGCAACACAAAACACACTTCAATGGAAGGCAGATACTCAACACTAGGGACTACACAATATTCACAATGAGGAGGCCTATCTTGTTGAGGGGTGCAAAGAGAGGCACAGCCAGGTGTGCGAGAAGGGATGGAGACAGCACGGCACAGGTAAATGATTCAATAACTTGTCGGCACTTGTGCACATACACCTGGCTGTTTCTCTCTTTGTGGTCCTCCCTTGTAACAAATAGTGAACTTTGTGACAATGTTAATGATAGTTTGTTAAACAATTTTTTTTTAGGACATAAATTCTGCCAAAAAATCACAGAGTTGGTCTGATGTTTTGATTATGATCAGTGTTTCATCGAGAATATGTTAAGTAGTTTTCGAGTTAGATTGCAATTAATCGGTCCGATTTTGAGCCAAACGGACTATAGTCCTGGTGACTATATGTGCAGCAGTATTTTGCACACACTGAAGTCTAGTAAACTGTTCCTGGGAGACATTTCCGAGCAAACTGTTGCAATAATCCAATCTGGATAACACAAGTGTCGGCACACGCATATGAGCAGCAGATGTGGTGAGAAGATGTCTTACTGATCCTATGTTATGTAAGTGGAAGTAGCATGTTCTGCACAAGTTAGAAATGTGGCAATCCATAGAGATAGAGACTAGTGGTGGTCCGATTAATTGAAATATTCGAAGATTGGTTGTAATGACTAAACGACCAAGCAATCGATCATGTTTTCTCATAATCAAATACAAGCAATTTTGGAACACTTGTTTGCATTAACAATATTTTTCACAAGGTTGATTTTGTCTCTTACATTTCATAAGCACTACAAGCTTGTTCCAAGTCATGATTGAATTTATCTTAATGACTCCAGAAAATTTATGTTCTTAACATACTAGTTTAGCTTTAAAGATGAGAAATTTGCAAATTCATTGTTTGCAATTTGTAAAAAAACCTGAAAGAACTTCATGTTCTCTCTTTATATTTTGTGCTTTAACAAACATAATCGGGAAAACTTCATAAATGCAGTAACCAATTATTTTCGAAGATTATTGGTCATCAAATATGAGATTAACCAATTCCCAATACTAATAGAGACATCTGTCTGTGATCTGCTGGCTGGCGTCATTGCTTGTATGAAGGTTCATTCAGCAACATCCAGCTTTATGACGACAGCCAGTAAAAAAGAAAGAAGTCAGGTATTGACAATCCACTGATTGAGGAGCCACCTTGTCGAGACAATGTACACTTACCTGGTTGTTCAAGCTTAAGCGGAGACAATGTGTTCAAGCTTACCTGGTTGGAAGCGGGGATTCTGCTTCAGCTTGAGGTTTCTCTGCTCAAAAAACTTGAAGACGGTAAAGAACAGCATGTTGTCTTCTGTGTGCATGGCGGTCTCCAGGAACTTGCGGGCTGATACCGTGTCCTGGATCCCCACGCTCCGGATAAACCTGACACGAACACCAACCATTAATCTGTTGTACATACACCTGACACGAACACCAACCATTAATCTGTTGTACATACACCTGACACGAACACCAACCATTAATCTGTTGTACATACACCTGACACGAACACCAACCATTAATCTGTTGTACATACACATACACCTGACACGAACTGCCACGAACACCAACCATTAATCTGTTGTACATACACCCTGACACGAACACCAACCATTAATCTGTTGTACATACAGCTGACACGAACACCAACCATTAATCTGTAGTGCCACCTACCTGAGTGACCAGTAAGTTGCCACCCACCTGAGTGACCAGTAATCTGTGCCACCTGACACCTGAACGGATCTGTTGTACATACCCACCTGAGTGACGAACACCAACCATTAATCTGTCACCTACCTGACACCTGAGAGTAGTGCCACCATTAATCTGTGAGTGAGAGTACACCTGACCACCGAACACCTACCAGGTAATCTGTTCTGCACTAGAGAGACAACGCACCTACCTGAGTGAGAGTAGTGCCACCAACCTGAGTGAGAGCTAGTTACACCTACCTGAGTGAGAGTAGTGCCACCTACCTGAGTGAGAGTAGTGTCACCTACCTGAGTAGCCACCTACCTGAGTGAGAGTAGTGTCACCTACCTGAGTGAGAGTAGTGCCACCTACCTGAGTGAGAGTAGTGCCACCTACCTGAGTGAGAGTAGTGCCACCTACCTGAGTGAGAGTAGTGCCACCTACCTGAGTGAGAGTAGTGCCACCTACCTGAGTGAGAGTAGTGCCACCTACCTGAGTGAGAGTAGTGCCACCTACCTGAGTGAGAGTAGTGCCACCTACCTGAGTGAGAGTAGTGCCACCTACCTGAGTGAGAGTAGTGCCACCTACCTGAGTGAGAGTAGTGCCACCTACCTGAGTGCTGGCAGAAGCTGCTGTTTGGACAACAGGACCTCGATGATCTCCTCATTGGCTGTCTGAAGTCTCTGTAAAATACATGTTACACTGAATCCAATTGTTCTGAGATTCAAGTCCCTTTCACTTAATCATCAACAAACAACACTGTGGCTTATAAACACCTTGGTGTTGACAACATGACTGCACTACACATCAACATATAGAACACAATTGTTGGGGAGTTGTTTTAGGGTTGATAGGAAGGTTGTGTTCTTATTTGCTGGGGAGATGTTCAGGTCAAACACAAATACACATGCATGGAACTGACCTTCAGGTCAAACACAAACACACATGCATAGAACTGACCCTGACCTTCAGGTGAGCATGAACAGCATCAGTCAAACACAAATACACATGCATGAGCCAGATTGGTGAGCGGCTGATACACACTCTCCAGTGACAGCATCAGACAAGCCTGCAACATTGGGATATATCAACCCAATACACAAGGGATATATCCAGCAATACAGGGATATATCAGCAATACAGGGATATATCAGATATACTACAGGGGTATATCAGCAATACAGGGGGTAAGCAATGACAGCATATCAGACAGGCCTGCAGGGAGGGATATATCATACATCAGTATTGGGATATATCATGGGGGTATATCATACACAGGGGATATATACACACACATGGGATATATATATAAGCAATACACAGGATATATCAGCAATACAGGGATATATCAGCAATACACAGTGATATATCAGCAGCACACAGGGATATATCAGCAGCACACAATACATGGGGATATATCAGCAATACAGGGATATATCAGCAATACACAGGGATATATCAGCAATACAGGGATATATCAGCAGGGAATATACAGGGATATATCAGCAATATACAGGGATATATCAGCCATACACAGGGATATATCAGCAATACTGGGATATATCAGCAAAACAGGGATATATCAGCAATACACAGGGATATATAAGCAATACAGGGATATTTGTATCTGCTTCAGTGTTGGTTACTCTTTCTGATGTACACTAGTGTTGGGAATTGGTTAAAATCTCATAATTGATGATTGGTTCATTACAACCGATCAATCATCAAAAATAATTGGTTAGCGTCCTTTATGACATTTTCCTGGTTAATTTTGTTTGCACAAAAATATAAAGAAAAAACATGTAGTTCTTTGGGTGTTTTTTTTCAAATTGCACATCTTTGAAGGATGACTAGTATGTTAGGAACATAAATTTCTTGGGGTCTTTAAGATAAATTCAATCATGACTTGGAACGAGCTTGTAGTGCTCATGAAATGTAACAGACAAAACCAACCTTGTGAAAAATATTGTTTATGCAAAAAGTGTTCCAGAATTGTTTGTGTTCGATTATGAGAAAACATGATTGATTGCTTGGTCGTTTAGTCACTACGACCAATCTTTGATTATTTCAATTAATTGGACCACCACTAATGCACACAATGTCTATTATAGGTAGCAGAGGTACAACAGTTGCCTCTTCATGCTATTCTCACATGAAAGCTCAGGAGGATTTCAACAACCTGTATCTCTAACTGGTCACATCACTAGACAACTAACGAGTGATTTGGTCTCACCAGCAGTAAGGACTTACTAAGGGTTGTGACTCAACAGGAGATAGGACTCACCCAGAGAAAGGACTCACCAGGAGACAGGACTCACCCAGAGAAAGGACTCACCAGGAGATAGGACTCACCCAGAGTAAGGACTCACCGGGGGTTGTGACTCAACAGGAGATAGGACTCACCAGAGGTTGTGACTCACCCAGAGTAAGTACTCACTGGGGATTGTGACTCACCCAGAGAAAAGACTCACTGGGAGATAGGACTCACCCAGAGAAAGGACTCACCGGGGATTGTGACTCACCCAGAGAAAGGACTCACCAGGAGATGGGACTCATCCAGAGATTCCAGGACAGACTGTGCCCCCAGCACATCCAGGGATTCCAGGACAGACTGTGCCCCCAGCACATCCAGGGATTCCAGGACAGACTGTGCCCCCAGCACATCCAGGGATTCCAGGACAGACTGTGCCCCCAGCACATCCAGGGATTCCAGGACAAGTCTGGTCCCAGCACATCAGGGATTCAGGACCAGGCGTCCCCAGCACATCCAGGGATTCCAGGACAGACTGTGCCCGCGACATGTCCAGGGATTTGAGAACAGACAATGGCACCAGCACATTAAGGGTTTGGGCGAGGGATGGTGGGTGTCTGGAGCCCGGCTACAGATGTTCTCCGCTACACTGGCTGCTGCTCCGACTATCATTATCATCTGGGTGTTCATAACCAAAAGACTTGACGGTAACAAGAACTAGATTTTCAAAGGGATAACCTACCAAGGGACTACGGTTGGTTTGGGAGCCGATACACTATGAGTTAGCATCCCAGAGTTTGCGTGAAATACCAATGTAAAAAGTGGGCAATGCAGTTTGATAACACACATCACTGTAACAGTAGCAGCATTATACCACAGGCTGCTCTCGTATAGTGTGATGTTAACCAACAAACCTACACTCAAACAAAGCGGCATTATCACAGTCGTGTTGTTTGATTCCTTTCACATAAATTATATACATAAATATATACAAATTAATTCTCTGCACATCAGAAATCATAGGACCCTACATCTGGAATTAGCAGGAAGGAAAATGGTCATTGTACAATATCTCTGTATGTCAAAACTTTGATTATTTCACAAAATACTTCCCACATTTGAGAAGACCTGTCCATGGTAACTGGGGATACCTGGATGTGTGAAGTCATCTCCCACAGTTAGTGTCAGTTCATTCACAGCAAGTATCTGCTGGGTTTCTACTCCCACAAGGTTGTCCTAGGAACTGAACAAGTGTTGGGGTGGGTGGCTTCTGAGACCATTCCTCACTCACAGTTTTCATTAAACAAACAAGATGGATGTGCGTTAATGACAGCATCACGTTCATTAGCGATAATTTGGTTTGACTTGAATATAGAGGGGTTGTACAGGGGCTAGTGTTTCATCTGGTTTGCTTCTTTATCACAGAGGGCAGGTGAGTTGCCATTGCACACAGTCCCAGCTGGTCAGGTGATGTTGACTCGTGTGGCGATGGGTTCAACGCATTAGGGTGGGATGGGACAGGGCGTCCGTGCCAAACAACGACTCAAACTGTGCGCACATACTGCTCACAGTAGTCACCTGCAACACAAAACACACTTCAATGGAAGGCAGATACTCAACACTAGGGACTACACAATATCCACAATGAGGAGGCCTATCTTGTTGAGGGGTGCAAAGAGAGGCACAGCCAGGTGTGCGAGAAGGGATGGAGACTGCACAGCACAGGTAAATGATTCAATAACTTGTCGGCACTTGTGCACATACACCTGGCTGTTTCTCTCTTTGTGGTCCTCCCTCGTAACAAATAGTGAACTTTGTGACAATGTTAATGATAGTTTGTTAAACAATTTATTTTTAGGACATAAATTCTGCCAAAAAATCACACAGTTGGTCTGATGTTTTGATTATGATCAGTGTTTCGTTGAGAATATGTTAAGTAGTTTTTAGAGTTAGGGTGCAATTAATCGGTCCGATTTTGAGCCAAAGCGGACTATAGTCCTGAGTGACTATCACGTGCAGCAGTATTTTGCACATGCTGAAGTCTAGTAAACTGTTCCTGGGAGACATTTCGAGCAAACTGTTGCAATAATCCAATCTGGATAACACAAGTGTCGGCACCGCATATGAGCAGCAGATGTGGTGAGAAGATGTCTTACTGATCTATGTTATGTAAGTGAAAGTAGCATGTTCTGCGCAAGTTAGAAATGTGGCAATCCATAGAAATAGAGACTAGTGGTGGTCGATTAATTGAAATATGATAGAGATTGGTTGTAATGACTAAGCGACCAAGCAATGCGATCATGTTTTCTCATAGTCAAATACAAGCAATTTTGGAACACTTGTTTGCATTAACAATATTTTTCACAAGGTTGATTTTGTCTCTTACATTTCATGACCACTACAAGCTCGTTCCAAGTCTTGATTGAATTTATCTTAATGACTCCAGACAATTTATGTTCTTAACATACTAGTTTAGCTTTAAACATGAGAAATTAGCAAATTCATTGTGTGCAATTTGTAAAAAACCCTGAGAGAACTTCATGTTCTCTCTTTATATTTTGTGCTTTAACAAACATAATCGGGAAAACTTGATAAATGATGGTAACCTATTATTTTCGATGAATATTGGTCATCAATTATGAGATTAACCAATTCCCAACACTAATAGAGACATCTGCCTGTGATCTGCTGGCTGGCGTCATTGCTTGTATGAAGGTTCATTCAGCAATATCCAGCTTTATGACGACGGCCAGTAAAAAAGAAAGAAGTCAGGTATTGACAATCCACTGATTGAGGAGCCACCTTGTCGGGGTACGACACTTACCTGGTTGGAAGCGGGGATTCTGCTTCAGCTTGAGGTTTGAGCGACTCTGCTCAAAAACTTGAAGACGGTAAAGAACAGCATGTTGTCCTCTGTGTGCATGGCCGTCTCCAGGAACTTGCGGGCTGATACCGTGTCCTGGATCCCCACGCTCCGGATAAACCTGACAGGAACACCAACCATTAATCTGTTGTACATACACCTGACACGAACACCAACCATTAATCTGTTGTACATACACCTGACACGAACACCAACCATTAATCTGTTGTACATACACCTGACACGAACACCATCCATTAATCTGTTGTACATACACCTGACACGAACACCAACCATTAATCTGTTGTACATACACCTGACACGAACACCAACCATTAATCTGTTGTACATACACCTGACACGAACACCAACCATTAATCTGTAGTGCCACCTACCTGAGTGAGAGTAGTGCCACCTACCTGAGTGAGAGTAGTGCCACCCACCTGAGTGAGAGTAGTGCCACCTACCTGAGTGAGAGTAGTGTCACCTACCTGAGTGAGAGTAGTGCCACCTACCTGAGTGAGAGTAGTGCCACCTACCTGAGTGAGAGTAGTGCCAAGTGCCTGGAGTGAGAGTAGTGCCACCTACCTGAGTGAGAGTAGTGTCACCTACCTGAGTGAGAGTAGTGCCACCTACCTGAGTGAGAGTGAGAGTAGTGTCACCTACCTGAGTAGTGCCACCTACCTGAGTGAGAGAGTAGTGTCACCTACCTGAGTGAGAGAGTAGTGCCACCTACCTGAGTGGAGAGTAGTGCCACCTACCTGAGTGAGAGTAGTGCCACCTACCTGAGTGAGAGTAGTGCCACCTACCTGGTGAGAGTAGTGTCACCTACCTGAGAGTGCCAGTGTCACCTACCTGAGTGAGGAGTAGTGCCACCTACCTGAGTGAGAGTAGTGCCACCTACCTGAGTGAGAGTAGTGCCACCTACCTGAGTGAGAGTAGTGCCACCTACCTGAGTGCTGGCAGGAGCTGCTGTTTGGACAACAGGACCTCGATGATCTCCTCATTGGCTGTCTGAAGTCTCTGTAAAATACATGTTACACTGCATCCAATTGTTCTGAGATTCAAATCCCTTTCACTTAATCCCCAACAAACAACACTGTGGCTTATAAACACCTTGGTGTTGGCAACATGACTGCACTACACATCAACATATAGAACACAATTGTTGGGGAGTTGTTTTAGGGTTGATAGGAAGGTTGTGTTCTTATTTGCTGGGGAGATGTTCAGGTCAAACACAAATACACATGCATGGAACTGACCTTCAGGTCAAACACAAATACACATGCATAGAACTGACCTTGAGCATGTCGAGAGCCAGTTGGTGAGCAGGCTGATACACACTCTCCAGTGACAGCATCAGACAAGCCTGCAACACATTGGGATATATCAGCAACACACAGGGATATATAAGCAATACACAGGGATATATCAGCAATACAGGGATATATCAGGAATACACAGTGATATATCAGCCATACATGGGGATATATCAGCAATACAGGGATATATCAGCCATACACAGGGATATATCAGCCATACACAGGGATATATCAGCAATATACAGGGATATATCAGCAATATACAGGGATATATCAGCAATACACAGGGATATATCAGCAATACAGGGATATACAGCAATATATCAGGGGATATATCAGCAATATACAGGGATATATCAGCAATATACAGGGATATATCAGCCATACACAGGGATATATCAGCAATACTGGGATATATCAGCAAAACAGGGATATATCAGCAATACACAGGGATATATAAGCAATACAGGGATATATCAGCAATAAACAGGGATATATAAGCAATACAGGGATATTTGTATCTGCTTCAGTGTTGGTTACTCTTTCTGATGTACACTAGTGTTGGGAATTGGTTAAAATCTCATAATTGATGATTGGTTCATTACAACCGATCAATCATCAAAAATAATTGGTTAGCGTCCTTTATGACATTTTCCTGGTTAATTTTGTTTGCACAAAAATTTAAAGAAAAAACATGTAGTTCCTTGGTTTATTTTTTTCAAATTGCACATCTTTAAAGGATGACTAGTATGTTAGGAACATAAATTTCTTGGGGTCTTTAAGATAAATTCAATCATGACTTGGAACGAGCTTGTAGTGCTCATGAAATGTAACAGACAAAACCAACCTTGTGAAAAATATTGTTTATGCAAAAAGTGTTCCAGAATTGTTTGTGTTCGATCATGAGAAAACATGATTGATTGCTTGGTCGTTTAGTCACTGCGACCAATCTTTGATTATTTCAATTAATTGGACCACCACTAATGCACACAATGTCTATTATAGGTAGCAGAGGTACAACAGTTGCCTCTTCATGCTATTCTCACATGAAAGCTCAGGAGGATTTCAACAACCTGTATCTCTAACTGGTCACATCACTAGACAACTAACGAGTGATTTGGTCTCACCAGCAGTAAGGACTTACTAAGGGTTGTGACTCAACAGGAGATAGGACTCACCCAGAGAAAGGACTCACCAGGAGACAGGACTCACCCAGAGAAAGGACTCACCAGGAGATAGGACTCACCCAGAGTAAGGACTCACCGGGGGTTGTGACTCAACAGGAGATAGGACTCACCAGAGGTTGTGACTCACCCAGAGTAAGTACTCACTGGGGATTGTGACTCACCCAGAGAAAAGACTCACTGGGAGATAGGACTCACCCAGAGAAAGGACTCACCGGGGATTGTGACTCACCCAGAGAAAGGACTCACCAGGAGATAGGACTCATCCAGAGAAAGGACTCACCGGGAGATAGGACTCACCAGGAGATAGGACTCACCGGGAGATAGGACTCACCCAGTGAAACGACTCAACAGGAGATAGGACTCACCCAGAGAAAGGACTCACCGGGGATTGTGACTCACCCAGAGAAAGGACTCACCAGGAGATAGGACTCATCCAGAGAAAGGACTCACCGGGAGATAGGACTCACCCAGAGTAAGGACTCACCAGGAGATAGGACTCACCGGGAGATAGGACTCACCCAGTGAAATGACTCAACAGGAGATAGGACTCACCCAGAGAAAGGACTCACCGGGGATTGTGACTCACCCAGAGAAAGGACTCACCCAGTGAAACGACTCAACAGGAGATAGACTCACCAGGGGTTTGGAGTCGCTGAGGACATGGTACTGCAGAAACTGATGGAGCTGGTAAAAGCAGTTGTTGTGGACGAGGATGTTGATGATCAGCTCGTACAGGTAGTGCTGCAGATATATATCACACATTCCCACTGAGATCTCTTCCTGGACATTGACGGTAGATTGTAATAAACTGAGAGACATAATGTGTAACATTCTTTAAAGAAATGGATTTAATGAAATGGAAATCTTGTTCAAAAAAAAATATTTCCTAGTGACCAAAGTGTGAGTATGCTGTAAGTCTACCTACCTGCACTGGAATGTTGAACTGGTTCAGAGATCGGATATACTCTATGAGAACCGCCACCATGAACTTGTACTTGATGTCCTAACCCAACAAACATAAAACATGCACAAATATCCAAAACACATATACTCAATGCCCTTGGTGAAAAAACAACAAATATATACTATATATCCTCAGCAAATATAAATGTAATATGCTTAATGAATAATGACATAATATGTCCTTGGTAAATAAAGATGTCAAACTTGATGTCAACTGGAAATATACATGTACTTGATATATGTACTTGAATATAAAGCCATGGTCGGACATGCATGTGGTTTTTAAAGATACTCAGTACAAGAAGCCCTTGTGAAACTGTGCTGCATCTGAGGTCACTGCCAGTCAGTCCCTCACCTTGCAGTCTTCGAACACTGAGAAGACGTGTGTGTACATGTCCGACTGATCGATGATCACCTTCCTCTTCCACATGTTGGTCATCGCAGTACTGGAGATCTCCCCCGCCTGGGGACAGACAGGTCTTATGTAGACAACTTGATTTATCTCCTCAACAAATCCTTGTGTCCAGTGCTCATGCGTGTTGCAATCACAGGAAGAGCATTTACCAAGGTTAAGATTAGCAACTAGACTGACTGACTGAGTTTGGTTTTACGCCGCTTTTAGCAATATTCCAGCAACATCACGGCGGGGACACCAGAAATGGGCTTAACACATTGTACCCATGTGGGGATTGAACCGGGTCTTTGGCCTGACGAGCCAACGCTTTAACCATTAGTCTACCCCACCGCGGCATTAGTAACCAGAAAGACCTTGGGGAGATCATATGCAGAATAAACAAATAATGTAAAAAAATATCAAAGACATTTGAAAAAAAGTTAAAGTTTCATGACACAAATAATAAAATGGAAATGATTATGGATGTTGCTTGCTTAGAACCTCTACAAGATCATGTGGTGGGTTTAGTACAAAACACTAGCAATGTCACTCAGGGTTACAAGAAGCTAACAGACCATGGCCTGAGACTCCACGTCCCGATACGCCTTGTACACCTGGTTCAGCATGTCGTACACCTGGGAGATGGTGTGCAGGTTGGCCTGTTGCCCCGGCACCAACATCTGGCGACATACGGACAGGATCACCATCTTGCTCTCCTGGCGACACAGCAAGAACTGGATCAACTTGCACTGGAACAAAACAAGATCAACACTGGAACAACAGATCACATGATCGCCGAGGAAGCTTGATATCCGCCGAGGTAGATTACTGGGCTTATTATCTATAGAATGTTTCCATGTTACTAAGCTCAAAACTACTTTTCACTATAATAAAATTACATAGTGGAATAGGATATATTTACCAATCACATCAAAAGACAACTAAAAACTACCTTGGATTTTGAGATTAAAGAAGGGAGACAACTGTGTACAAACCTTGTCGGGCAGCATGGTGACCAGTGGCTCCAGATGAAGCTTGATATACCACAAGCAACCTGTCATAGTGGAATAGGATATATATCACACAGGCAACCTGTCATAGTGGAATAGGATATATATCACACAGGCAACCTGTCACAGTGGAATAGGATATATATCACACAGGCAACCTGTCACAGTGGAATAGGATATATATCAGTGGAATAGGATATATATCACAGGCAACCTGTCACAGTGGAATGGAATAGGATATATATCACACAGGCAACCTGTCACAGTGGAATAGGATATATATCACACAGGCAACCTGTCACAGTGGAATAGGATATATATCACACAGGCAACCTGTCACAGTGGAATAGGATATATATCACACAGGCAACCTGTCACAGTGGAATAGGATATATATCACACAGGCAACCTGTCACAGTGGAATAGGATATATATCACACAGGCAACCTGTCACAGTGTAATAGGATATATACAGTGGAATAGGATATATATCACACAGGCAACCTGTCAACCTGTCACAGTGGAATAGGATATATATCACACAGGCAACCTGTCACAGTGGATATATAATAGTGGATATATATCACACAGGCAACCTGTCACAGTGGAATAGGATATATATCACACAGGCAACCTGTCACAGGCAACCTGTCACAGTGGAATAGGATATATATCACACAGGCAACCTGTCACAGTGTAATAGGATATATATCACACAGGCAACCTGTCACAGTGGAATAGGATATATATCACACAGGCAACCTGTCACAGTGGAATAGGATATATATCACACAGGCAACCTGTCACAGTGTAATAGGATATATATCACACAATAGGATATATATCACACAGGCAACCTGTCACAGTGGAATAGGATATATATCACACAGGCAACCTGTCACAGTGGAATAGGATATATATCACACAGGCAAGCCTGTCACAGTGTAATAGGAAATATATCACACAGGCAACCTGTCACAGTGTAACATCATACATTTCATGACTGTGGACATCTATAAATCATCCATGAGGTATCAACAACATTTGTTTTAAGTGAAATGTAATGATCTAAATGATATATCTGGTAATAAATATATCACATTATCCTACAGGACACAAGAACTATGTGGTGTATGACTCATACACACGACTCATAAGTATGTTTTTGAATACTTATAAATACCCTTCTTTTTTTTTGTAACAAGAGCTTCAAACATTTCTCTCCCCACACTACCCAACAACCTTCATACTTACCCAGCTTGGCATCGATGACTACATCTGGCTGGAACACAATCCAGTTGGCAGAATCTACACAAGTTAAGGCAGAACCAGTCGGGCATGATATATCTGTACATCAGAGACCACTAGCCGGGAAATGCTGGGTATTTACTGACTGATCACCAAGACACATCAGAGACCACTAGCCAGTGTGAAATGACACACTGTGTGAGACAACGACTACATGATGTTCTGGTACACTGACTGATCACTACACATGTGGGACAACATCAAGACTACACTGTGTGATGTGGGAAAGTGACAACGACACATGTGTGATGCACCAACTGTGTGATGTGGGACAACGACTCCGTGTGATGTGGAAAATGACATTAATAACAACTACACTGTGTGTGATGTGGGACTACACTGTGTGATGTGGGATACTACACCACTACACTGTGTGATGTGACAAGGACTACACTGTGTGATGTGGGACAACGACTACACTGTGTGATGTGGGACAACGACTACACTGTGATGTGGGACAACGACTACACTGTGTGATGTGGGACAAAAACTACACTGTGATGATGGGACAATGTGATGTCACTGTGTACACTGTGTGATGTGGGCGTGGGACATGATGTGGGACAACGATTATACTGTGTGAACTACACTGTGTGATGTGGGCGATTACTACACTACACTGTGTACGAGCACTGTGTGATGTGGGACAAGGACTACACCTGTGTGATGTGGGACGACTACACACTTGTGATGTAGACTACACTGTGTGTGATGTGGGGCGACTACACTGTGTGATGTGGATTACACTGTGTGATGTGGTACAACGATTACACTCATGGACAATGGACGATGATTACACTGTGTGTGTGGGACAACGACTGTGTGATGTTACACTGCATAATCGGGACAACGACTACACTGCATGATGTGGGTAACACTGCATGATGTGGGTCCTGTATGATGACAACGACTACACTGTGTGATGTGGGACACATGATGTGGGACAAGGACTACACTGTGTGATGTGGGACAAGGACACTGTGTGATGTGGGACTTGACAAGGACAGCGTGTGTGGGACAAGGACTACACTGTGTGATGTGGGACAAGGACTACACTGTGTGATGTGGGTACGCACCAATGTGATGTGGGAACGACACACTGTGTGATGTGGGGGGGACACTGTGTGATGTGGGACAAGGACACTCGCGTGATGTGATTACACTGTGTGATGTGGGACAAGGACTACACTGTGTGTGTGGGACAACGATTACACTGTGACGATGATGGGACAAGGGTGTGTGGGACACAATCGACTACACTGTGTGATGTGGGACACACTGTGTGATGTGGGACAACGACTACACACACACTGCATGTGATGATGACAATCGACTACACTACACTGTGTGGGACACTGGGACAACGACTACACTGTGTGATGACCGGGGAGTAAACGACTACACTGTGTGTGTGATGTGTGGGGACAACGACTACACGACTACACTGTGTGATGGGACAACGACTACACTGTGTGATGTGGGAACTACACTGTGTGATGTGGGACAATGACTTCACATGTGGACAATGAGCTGTGTGGTGATGTGGGTGACTTCACTGTGTGCATGGACAATGACTTCACTGTGTGTGGCGTGGGACAATGACTACAAGGATACAGAGTTCACACAGGTATTCTGTCTTCTCTGTGCCTGCTGCCGTCAGATTCAGCGCTGAAGAAAACATCAGTCCTAGATACAACATACCTCCGAACAAACTGCCATACATGTGTTACTGACGTCTCCCAATACACTGACTGAACTTTATTTCAGAATATTAGCGTATGAATCCAGTCCAGTTTAATTTTAGACATAGAAATAGATAAAGACTTAAAAAACAATGTTCACGTGTTTTTAAATGTTCCAAGGTTTGTTTGCAGGATCATACGCACTGATTTTCATTATGTTTTGTTACAATAACCCTATATTTATGCAGATGCCCAGAACTGAATAGTTTTGATATGATGAGATCGAATTCAAATATAAGACTCAGAAAGAAGATCAGTTGAGGTTGTTCCTCTACTCACAGGGAAGAAGGAGCTTGAACGGCTTGATTGGCAGGGGAGACAACACAGGGAAGTGATATTTGATGAAGCCGTCCAGAGTCTCCCTCCATCTTGATGTCAAATATCATCGATGTCTGGAACGCCAGGACAGAACACGATACAGAATCTACACCATCACTTTGTCACATTATTAACTGTAATCATCTTGATGCAGTGTCTGTGTATGACGTAGTTGTGTGTATGACATAGTTGTGTGTGTATGACATAGTTGTCTGTATGTGTGTATGACATAGTTGTGTGTGTATGACATAGTTGTCTGTATGTGTGTATGACATAGTTGTGTGTGTATGACATAGTTGTCTGTATGTGTGTATGACATAGTTGTGTGTATGACATAGTTGTGTGTGTATGACATAGTTGTCTGTATGTGTGTATGACATAGTTGTGTGTGTATGACATAGTTGTCTGTATGACAAAGTTGTCTGTGTATGACATAGTTGTGTGTATGACAAAGTTGTCTGTGTATGACATAGTTGTGTGTGTATTATATAGTTGTGTGTGTATTACATAGTTGTCTGTGTATGACATAGTTGTGTGTGTATTATATAGTTGTGTGTGTATGACATAGTTGTGTGTGTGTAGGACACAGCTGCACCTACCTTGGAAGCCTGGTGGTGTACCATGATGAGGTTGTCAACGATGTTGATGGCAAAGCGGCCGCTCATATTCAGCTGAAGCACTTCAGTCCGCTTGGCTGGACTCTCCCTGGGAAATCACCATTATACCATGTAAATAGATCTCCTGGCTCTTGAACAGCCAATAATGTTTCTGACTTTTAATAATTCACTCACATGAGAAGGAACGACTGTTGTTTCACATCAGAAGTCATGATGACCTAGCAAGCAGGGGGTAGCCTGAGCAAGGAAAAAACACTGCTGTGGATGCACAATGAGCCACTTCACTCATTTAAACCAACCAATCCCCAATAGCACTTACAGGAAGCCTGGATCTTCACTGAATCCCAAAAGGTAGACAGGCCATATTTGTGGAGGTGACTTACTTCTGTAGCTGATACAGCACAATCTCGGCCCCCACGGCTGCCTTGGGCTGGTGACGCAGAACCACGATGTACAGGTAGTCATAGCTGAAACAGTGTCACAACACAGTGGTTATGATTACACAATGCCATCTAGAAAGTGGTCAAATGTAACATATGTTATATTTGGGATTACACTTTCTTAGTAAAGTACAAATTCTAGTACTTTTGTTTTGAGTTGAGCCCCATCCAGGATTCGAACTCACATCCTCAGAGTCAGACATCTAATCGCCAGCACACAAAGTCAGCTGCCTAACCCGCTCAGCTACCGTGACTTGCACCCAATCGCCAGCACACAGAGTCAGCCGCCTAACCCGCTCAGCTACCGTGACTTGCACCTAACCCAGCACACAGAGTCAGCTGCCTGACGATCAGCAACCGTGAATGCACGTCGCCAGCACACAGAGTCAGCTGCCTAACCCGGCTCAGCTGCCGTGACTTGCACCTAATCGCCAGCACACAAAGTCAGCCACCTAAGCTCACGTGACTTGCACAATCGCCAGCACACAAAGTCAGCCGCCTAACCCGCTCAGCTACCGTGACTTGCACCCAATTGCCAGCACACAGAGTCAGCTGCCTAACCCGATCAGCTGCCGTGACTTGCACCTAATGGCCAGCACACAGAGTCAGCTGCCTAACCCGCTCAGCTACCGCGACTTGCACCTAATCGCCAGCACACAGAGTCAGCTGCCTAACCCGCTCAGCTGCCGTGACTTGCACCTAATCGCCAGCACACAAAGTCAGCCGCCTAACCCGCTCAGCTACCGTGACTTGCACCTAATCGCCAACACACAAAGTCAGCTGCCTAACCCGCTCAGCTGCCGCGACTTGCACCTAATCGCCAGCACACAGAGTCAGCTGCCTAACCCGCTCAGCTACCGTGACTTGCACCTAATCGCCAACACACAAAGTCAGCTGCCTAACCTGATCAGCTGCCGCGACTTGCACCTAATCGCCAGCACACAGAGTCAGCTGCCTAACCCGCTCAGCTACCGTGACTTGCACCTAATCGCCAGCACACAAAGTCAGCCGCCTAACCTGATCAGCTACCGTGACTTGCACCTAATCGCCAGCACACAAAGTCAGCTGCCTAACCCGCTCAGCTACCGTGACTTGCACCTAATCGCCAGCACACAGAGTCAGCTGCCTAACCCGCTCAGCTACCGTGACTTGCACCTAATTCGCCAGCACACAAAGTCAGCCTCCTAACCTGATCAGCTGCCGTGACTTGCACCTAATCGCCAGCACACAAAGTCAGCTGCCTAACCCGCTCAGCTACCGTGACTTGCACCTAATCGCCAACACACAAAGTCAGCTGCCTAACCTGATCAGCTGACGCGACTTGCACCTAATCGCCAGCACACAGAGTCAGCCGCCTAACCTGATCAGCTACCATGACTTGCACCTAATCGCCAGCACACAAAGTCAGCCGCCTAACCCGCTCAGCTGCCGTGACTTGCACCTAATCGCCAGCACACAGAGTCAGCCGCCTAACCCGCTCAGCTACCGTGACTTGCACCTAATCGCCAGCACACAGAGTCAGCCGCCTAACCCGCTCAGCTGCCGTGACTTGCACCCAATCGCCAGCACACAGAGTCAGCTGCCTAACCCGATCAGCTGCCGTGACTTGCACCTAATGGCCAGCACACAGAGTCAGCTGCCTAACCCGCTCAGCTACCGCGACTTGCACCTAATCGCCAGCACACAGAGTCAGCTGCCTAACCCGCTCAGCTGCCGCGTGACTTGCACCCTAATCGCCAGCACACAAAGTCAGCCGCCTAACCGGCTCAGCTACCGTGACTTGCACCTAATCGCCAACACACAAAGTCAGCTGCCTAACCCGGCCAGCTACGCTGACTTGCACCTAATCGCCAGCACACAGAGTCAGCTGCCTAACCCGGCTCAGCTACCGTGACTTGCACCTAATCGCCATCACACAAAGTCAGCTGCCTAACCTGATCAGCTGCCCGCGACTTGCACCTAATCGCCAGCACACAGAGTCAGCTGCCTAACCCGCTCAGCTACCGTGGACTTGCACCTAATCGCCAGCACACAAAGTCAGCCGCCTAACCTGATCAGCTACCGCGGACTTGCACCTAATCGCCAGCACACAAAGTCAGCTGCCTAACCCGCTCAGCTACCGTGACTTGCACCTAATCGCCAGCACACAGAGTCAGCTGCCTAACCCGCTCAGCTACGTGACTTGCACCTAATCGCCAGCACACAGAGTCAGCTGCCTAACCCGATCAGCTGCCGCGACTTGCACCTAATCGCCAGCACACAGAGTCAGCTGCCTAACCCGCTCAGCTACCGTGACTTGCACCTAATCGCCATCACACAAAGTCAGCTGCCTAACCCTGATCAGCTACCGCGACTTGCACCTAATCGCCAGCACACAGAGTCAGCTGCCTAACCTGATCAGCTACCATGACTTGCACCTAATCGCCAGCACACAAAGTCAGCTGCCTAACCCGCTCAGCTACCGTGACTTGCACCTAATCGCCAGCACACAGAGTCAGCTGCCTAACCCGCTCAGCTACCGTGACTTGCACCTAATCGCCAGCACACAGAGTCAGCTGCCTAACCCGCTCAGCTGCCGTGACTTGCACCTAATCGCCAGCACACAGAGTCAGCTGCCTAACCCGCTCAGCTACCGTGACTTGCACCTAATCGCCAGCACACAGAGTCAGCTGCCTAACCCGCTCAGCTACCGTGACTTGCACCTAATCGCCAGCACACAGAGTCAGCCGCCTAACCTGCTCAGCTGCCGTGACTTGCACCTAATCGCCAGCACACAAAGTCAGCTGCCTAACCCGCTCAGCTACCGAGACTTGCACCTAATCGCCAGCACACAAAGTCAGCTGCCTAACCTGCTCAGCTACCACGACTTGCACCTAATGGCCAGCACACAGAGTCAGCTGCCTAACCCGATCAGCTACCGCGACTTGCACCTAATCGCCAGCACACAGAGTCAGCTGCCTAACCCGCTCAGCTACCGTGACTTGCACCCAATCGCCAGCACACAAAGTCAGCTGCCTAACCCGATCAGCTGCCGCGACTTGCACCTAATCGCCAGCACACAAAGTCAGCTGCCTAACCCGCTCAGCTACCGTGACTTGCACCCAATCGCCAGCACACAAAGTCAGCTGCCTAACCCGCTCAGCTACCGTGACTTGCACCCAATCGCCAGCATACAAAGTCAGCTGCCTAACCCGATCAGCTGCCGCGACTTGCACCTAATCGCCAGCACACAGAGTCAGCTGCCTAACCCGCTCAGCTACCGTGACTTGCACCTAATCGCCAGCACACAGAGTCAGCTGCCTAACCCGCTCAGCTACCGCGACTTGCACCTAATCGCCAGCACACAGAGTCAGCTGCCTAACCCGCTCAGCTACCGCTGACTTGCACCTAATCGCCAGCACACAAAGTCAGCTGCCTAACCCGCTCAGCTACCGCGACTTGCACCTAATCGCCAGCACACAGAGTCAGCTGCCTAACCCGCTCAGCTGCCGCGACTTGCACCTAATCGCCAGCACACAAAGTCAGCTGCCTAACCTGCTCAGCTACCGTGACTTGCACCTAATCGCCAGCATACAAAGTCAGCCACCTAACCCGCTCAGCTACCACGACTTGCACCTAATCGCCAGCACACAAAGTCAGCTGCCTAACCCGCTTAGCTAACGCGACTTGCACCTAATCGCCAGCATACAAAGTCAGCCACCTAACCCGATCAGCTGCTGCGACTTGCACCTAATTGCCAGCACACAAAGTCAGCTGCCTAACCCGATCAGCTGCCGCGACTTGCACCTAATCGCCAGCACACAGAGTCAGCTGCCTAACCCGATCAGCTGTCGCGACTTGCACCTAATCGCCAGCACACAAAGTCAGCTGCCTAACCCGATCAGCTACCGTGACTTGCACCTAATCGCCAGCACACAAAGTCAGCCGCCTAACCCGATCAGCTGCCGCGACTTTGTGGTATTGTGAACAACAATCCCTGCTGTCAGGTCACGTTGACACACTACAAGTCACGGAGTCTGACCGCCGTTGTTGGGGAGTTATCCAAACCCAGAACCACCACAGAAAGCAGGTATATCAGTATGAAACACAAACAACTGCCTTTGAGATCTGCTGTCCCTTGTGGACGATGTCTCAAGCCAACTGAAAGTCTTGACACAAAACTTGGCCCTGCTGACCCAAACCGGCATCAGGTAGACTACTGCTGTAATATATGGTCTATCATCAGACAGACATTTAGGAGACTCAGGCTTTGGATTTGTGGCTTAAGTTGCAGACTGCAACAATGTTGTTATAAGGACTGATGAAAACATTTCTAGCTGAAGACATAAATAATCCATTCCCCTGTATTCAAAATCAGTACAAACTGCACCAATTTTCTAAGCCTGGGAACCATTTACACAGATTTCATTGCCTCCATTAAGTTGAATCAACTCTGGCCAACGTGCTATGGCACGGCATACTGTAGTGACTGTTGAAGTCACATAATAAACTTACAAAGATGGACTGCTCATCCTTTGCTTCAATTTTGTTTGCTCACAATTTATGAAAAATAACACATGAATAGCGACTTGTTTGACACGTAATTAACAGGAAATATATCTATGCTGACATGTTGGCGACGATGACATCTCGCTCCAGCAGGCTGAGTTTGGCAGGCTTGGGCACAACTGGGAGGTCCACCTCGAACTTGGGCAGGCGATTCACCAGGCCCGGCTGTAAGCAGATAGATGAAGACATACAGTTCTGTTGTCTACCTGTAGATAGGTACTTGTATACCATTACTAAACATCTACAGAGTTCATACAAGTACCCCAGTTATTGCTAATACTTCCAGACAAACACATTGCACTGAATGGTGTTGTCTTGTTTTATTTTGTTCTTTAACACTGCACTCAGCAATATTCCAGCTATCTGTAAATAATTGAGTCTGGACCAGACAATCCAGTCAGGGTCTATCAGGGTCTAGTTCAGTAGTCAGGCTTGGTTACTTCTTTAGTTGTATACCCGTGAAAGTCCGGGTTAGAATGAACCTTCAGTAAACCCTGTTTGTCGTAAGAGGCGACTAACGGGATCGGGTGGTCAGGTTCGCTGACTTGGTTGACACATGTCATCGGTTCCCAGTTGCGCAGGTCGATGCTCATGCTGTTGATCACTGGATTGTCTGGTCCAGACTCGATTTTTAACAGACCGCCGCCGTATAGCTGGAATATTGCTGAGTGTGGCGTAAAACATAACTCACTCACTCACTCGTTAGTTGTGTGTCATAAGTTTTGCTTATAATATCAATCACTGGATTGTCTGCTTCAAAACTGAGTATTTACTAGGTGCCATCATGTAGCTAGAGACTCACCCGGAACTGGAAGGGATGCAGCGTATTCCCCAGAGTCCCTGACGACAGCACCAAGATGTAGGTCTCTGCCTGGGAACATCACACAAACACTAGATGCAAACTGACATTAACACTGTGGTAAGGTTCTGTAGGTATAAACGTGCATTTCAGTATGCTCTGAACATATTCATTACATGATATCAACTTAGTGTGAAAGGAAATGTTTAAGTTAGACTTAGCATCAAGAGTTTTCCAATTGTGATGCAATGTGGAAGTACAGGCTTACATATACATGGTTCTTACTTCACAGTGTGACAGTGTTTTACATGAACACAGCTACATCGCCCACAGATCATGTGTGCAGCCCTTGTGACAGGAAATTTTTAAAATCAAGTTGCAAAATCTGTTGTCCTTTGAGGACCACTTACCAGCCACACAAACCAGTTGACCTGTAGACTGACCGTCTTCAAGTTGCGCAGGCTTCTCCTCTCTGGGGCTATCTACAACACAGGGAGTACACCAAGATGGTAGTAGCGGTATAACTTGGGACAGAGTGTCCTATACTGGGGCTATCTACAACACAGGGAGTACACCAAGATGGCAGTAGCGGTACAACTTGGGACAGAGTGTCCTATACTGGGGCTATCTACAACACAGGGAGTACACCAAGATGGGGCTATCTACAACACAGGGAGTACACCAAGATGGTAGTAGCGGTATAACCTGGGACAGAGTGTTCTATACTGGGGCTATCTACACAACAGGGAGTACACCAAGATGGGGCTATCTGCAACACAGGTGGTACACAAAGATGGGGCTATCTACAACACAGGGAGTACACCAAGATGGGGCTATCTACAACACAGGGAGTACACCAAGATGGTAGTAGCGGTATAACTTGGGACAGAGTGTCCTATACTGGGGATATCTACAACACAGGGAGTACACCAAGATGGTAGTAGCGGTATAACTTGGGACAGAGTGTCCTATACTGGGGCTATCTACAACACAGGGAGTACACCAAGATGGGGCTATCTACAACACAGGGAGTACACCAAGATGGTAGTAGCGGTATAACTTGGGACAGAGTGTTCTATACTGGGGCTATCTACACAACAGGGAGTACACCAAGATGGGGCTATCTGCAACACAGGTGGTACACCAAGATGGGGCTATCTACAACACAGGGAGTACACCAAGATGGGACTATCTACAACACAGGGAGTACACCAAGATGGTAGTAGCGGTATAACCTGGGACAGAGTGTTCTATACTGGGGCTATCTACACAACAGGGAGTACACCAAGATGGGGCTATCTACAACACAGGGAGTACACCAAGATGGTAGTAGCGGTATAACCTGGGACAGAGTGTTCTATACTGGGGCTATCTACACAACAGGGAGTACACCAAGATGGGGCTATCTGCAACACAGGTGGTACACCAAGATGGGGCTATCTACAACACAAGGAGTACACCAAGATGGGGCTATCTACAACACAGGGAGTACACCAAGATGGTAGTAGCGGTATAACCTGGGACAGAGTGTTCTATACTGGGGCTATCTACACAACAGGGAGTACACCAAGATGGGGCTATCTACAACACAGGGAGTACACCAAGATGGTAGTAGCGGTATAACTTGGGACAGGGTGTTCTATGCCATGGTCCTACCTGGTAGTGTTCTATGCCATGTTCCTACTGGTAGTGTTCTATGCCATGTTCCTACTGGTAGTGTTCTATGCTATGTTAATACCTGGTAGTGATCTATGCCATGTTAATACCTGGTAGTGTCCCATGCCATGTTCCTACCTGGTAGTGTTCTATGCTATGTTAATACCTGGTAGTGTTCTATGCCATGTTAATACCTGGTAGTGTCCCATGCCATGTTCCTACCTGGTAGTGTTCTATGCTATGTTAATACCTGGAAATGTTCTTTGCCATGTTAATACCTGGTAGTGTTCTATGCCATGTTAATACCTGGTAGTGATCTATGCCAAGTTCCTACCTGGTAGTGTTCTATGCCATATTCCAACTTGGTAGTGTCCTATGCCAAGTTCCTACCTGGTAGTGTTCTATGCCATGGTCTGTGATGAAAGCAATCTCATTTACAGATGTCCATATGAATCCAATGATCTGGGTCGATTTTCCCTGGGAAATAAAAACATGACTTGCTACATGGAATTATCATGCTTAATCACATATCTAAAGTTTTTATGTCCTGACAACATGAAAAGTATGCTTTTTTTGTTGACATAAAAAGTCACATAAATACACCATGTGAGGTTTTGCCAGAAAAGTCTTCACATCAACACTATATACGTTGCCAAGTTTTACATTTAGTGATCAGACATTGGAATTCAAAAACTGATTGATACAAACCTTGCATGTCTGTGAATATTCCATCTGATCTGCTGGCATGTCACTGTGGAAGTTGATGAACTCCTGAATAACAACAATAATCTTAATGATGATGATGATGATGATGATGATGATGATGATGACAATGACGATGATGATAATATCATTAGTTTTAGCCATTTCAGACACATCTCACACTGTCAGATCCCACCACACTATATCTGGGCCATGGGGTAGTCTAGTGGTTAAAGCATTTGCTCATCACCCCCAAAGCCCAGGTTTGATTCCCCAAATGGGTACAATGTGTGAAGCCCAATTCTGATGTCCCATGCCAAGATATTGGTGGAATATGGCTAAAGCTACGTAAAACATATTCACTCCCACATGCTACATTATCCTCATATTAGGATAATCATGGGACAGAATCTTACTGCCACCATCAACTAATGAAACTGTGAACCATGACAGCTTATAACTCACCACTGATTTTTGAGATCTCTGGATGGCTAAGATTTTCTTGTCTGGAGAAAACTTTATTGAAACAACGTCACCCCTGTCCTCAATTCTGTGGAACACACAAAAAAAATAACTGTCACCCTTTATGATAAAAACTTAATCTTTTAAATATTAATAGCTTCCATCCTTAAAAAGTGCTAGTGTTAACAGGAATTCAGAGATTTGATAATGTCTCAAATAAAGCTTTGAATGATGCCTTAATTATTACACATATAACTAATATGACCAACTTACACCAAATATCCTTTAGAAAGAAGCCACAGTACTACAAGAACCATATGAAAGGTGAATGTCCTCACATATTAGCCGAGATTCCATGACACGCAGCTAAAGACAACATCTCACCTGAATGACACTGCAGATTTCTCATCTGGCCCCTTAACAGTCACGCCCATGGCTCCACCAGATCGAACCATGAAATACCTGGACAAGAAAATTTACTGCTTGTTTCATCAACATTCTCGATAAGAAATAAAAATATACTTGATAAGTAATAATAAGGACTCAGCATATTCTTTTTAAAAACACAAGAAATAAAGTCGATAATTTCCAAACCTGTTTGTTGGCATCGTCAAAGAAGATGTTATTGGCCTTGTTGATGGGCTCAAATCGAATCGGGTTTTTACAAAGCTCGATGTAAAACTCTCCAGTGTCTGACGTCGCCATCTGCAAGTAGATATTACAACTGTCACTGGCAGAACACACCCCTTCTGATGTCGTGCGAGTCTTGTACTAGTTAGTGCATTTCCCACTCGCCATACGTAGTATTTATACGGTTACCTTGAACCAGCTAGGGCTATTTGTGACATTAAACGAAAATACAGTAACTGTTAATAATTAGAATAACACCGACTGAAGTAAATTCACATCGGCTAAGTAGGAAATGCAGACGACGGGTTCATGTCACTAAATGTGCTCCATCATTCATCGTAAACAGGAAGTTTGACTGTTTTCACTTCTCACTGGTTAATGCATGTATTATTTAACATTGAAGCTGAAAATGTTTTGGTTGTTTATGTCGTCCTTAACACATAAAATGATAGAATATACAAAAGTCACTCAACTATCTAACCAGCAGGTGCCCCTTCCAAGGGCGGTAATTCTGTGCTTCCTGTTAAAATCTCCCAACAGTGTCAAAATATTCAACGCCCTGTGATTGAGCCTACGGTGCTGCCTTCGTTCTAAAACATTGACAGCAAAGCTGGTTTGAATCACCGTGAACCGTGCACCGGTTTAACAAATAAACAATTGTTTTATGTTTTATTCAAACCTAATATAAGTTGAAGTTGACGATGACTAATATCTTCGAACTAAATGAACTATGTGGTTTCTTTTTAAATTGAAACATTTGGATTTTCTGAGTCCATCTGAATCGGCGAAGCAGGTTGTGTTTTGACTCTCGTGACAACCTTACTGATTAAATTATTGGGCGAGTATTAAGCCGCATTTAGCTATATTCCAGCAATATCAATATCAGATTAATCGCCCACAGCAGCAAAAGATTTTAAAAATGACAACGTGTACTTCTCATGGTGATTTTATGTTCGCTTCATATATAGCCTTCATTCATGTCATATACATGAACCTCATTCAGAGATACGGCTTGACAACAGTAAAATGAACTTTGTGTGTTTCCTCACCCTCCAACAGATGTCTTGATCAAAACTGAGTCAGGTATTGGTCAAACATTCGTGTATACGGCGTCGACGTGGATGGAGGCCGTTGATGTCGAAGTACACGTCTCCCGGTCAGGTATCTGACGTGCCTTATAGGGAGGACATAGGGGAGATAGGGGGGTCATCAATTTTGTACACATATACTAGGGAGGGTCATCAACATTGTGCACTATAATATTTAAAAATTATGCTTAAAAAATATGGGAAGGGGAGGGGTGTTCACTGAATATGTACATGACACGCAAGGGGGGTAACTTAATTTGTACATAAATTTAGGTGGGAGCATCCCACAGATGTTCGATCGGGTTTAAGTCCGGTGATCTTGAGGGCCAGGGGAGCACATTGATGTTGTGGTTCTGGAAGAAGTCTCTAGTCTGACGTGCTGTGTGGGGCCTGGCATTGTCCTGTTGAAACAACTCCCTGTGGCGATCAATGATTGGAAGGAGTTGTGGGCGTAGGATTTCGTCACAGTACCGTTGAGCTGTAGGAAATAAATACCGGTCATTAGTATATCAGTCTAACAGTCAGAAGAGAATGCCGAGTCAACGCCGCACGTCTAGTTTGATTCATATTTTGAAAACACCTCATACACTGAGGCGCTTGAACGATGAGAAACGCCGAATTTTCCTCTACGTGAGAGGAGTTGTGAAACTGGGACCCCCTGGACGGACATCGTTAAAGGCAGTGGATAAAACATAGACTATAGATAACCATTCAACCTTAAAACAGCATAGGAAAGGTGAACTGAATATTCAACAGTGCGAAATGTGTTTCAAAACATGGACTTGCTGTTTAAACAATAGCGCCTCGAAGCAGCAGCAGGTGTATAGAGTGACTGAACTGTTGACTTTAATGTTTCCAGAGTGAATCATATTGTCCATTCGTATATCACAGCTTTGTATCGAACCGATTGACTTGAATCAATAAATGATATGAATGAATTGCTTGTTTTGTCGGGGTTTTTTTTGTGCATACTTAGAATCCATATATTGCGCTAAATCCACACCGATATAATCCTTATATACCTCGATGATAATATATGTGTAGTCCCTAGACAGACATCGATACACACTCCCATCCATAGCAATACATCTAAAAAGTAATGCCATCATTTAAATTGTGAGTTTAAACGCGTATTTTTACATGGATTTACCTTTACAAGGATGAGTGCATTCCGAACAAACGCTACACCTTCCTGTTATCAATGTGTAACTGTTTACAGTTGGATGGTCTGAAAATACCCAGAGTTATGTTGACCCTAGACATGTGTGCGGGCGAGTTCATTCATCAGAAATCTGTTACTTACGATGTGTTTATAAATACGAACTGCTAGCCACACTCATAGTAATGTTTCATGCCGTGGTTAGAACCGTAATGGATCTATTGAAAGGTGTCATACATTCATGTTCAGATATATGCATGAAATCTACACGCACATACATACCTACATGACCGCAATTTCATTCAAATGTGTGAAATATACCGATTACATTTCTCTGATGTAATACTTCTGTTACAGACAGCTGTCCTGATGGTACATACGGCTACCAATGTCACTGTCTCTCTCTGATGTAATACTTCTGTTACAGACAGCTGTCCTGATGGTACATACGGATACAACTGTGGTTACACGTGTAACTGTGACCAGGACAAGTGTGACCCTACTTCCGGTTGCAGTCCGCCAAACTGTTCCCCAGGGTGGTCTGGTCCGACATGTCAGAAACGTATGTATCTACATCAGCAGTCAACTACTGACACGGTCACTACAGTGGAATACATCCGTGTCAAATCACAAACACATCTAACTTCCTCCAACAACTGATTCAGGTTCCATAGCATGCTTTTGATCTAAGGGGTCACATCCACCAGCAGTCTTCCTTATTAAAGGGTTAATCCTTGTGGCATCACTGTTATATTTTCGATGTCTTATGAATACGGATACGGATAATACTGATGCGTAATCTCTCCTCGGTCATTCACAGAAACAAATGATTATTGTTACCAGAAACCGTATTGTCAGTCTGAACAATCTGAGATCGATCCTCATGCTCTTGATCCCTGGATGTCTGGTTCAGACTCGATTATTTAGACAGCCGCCATATAGCTGGAATATTGCCGAGTGTGGCGTAAAACTTAACTCACTCACTCAGACACTTGCATTCAGTGTCAGCGTGGGTTCCTTTAAGGGAAGACAATATTTAATTGTGTACATAGAATATCTCACATATTGATCCCTGTCGTTTTCAGAAAACAAAAACAAAACATGCTGTTAGGTTATCTCTTTCATTTACATCGTGGTCGTGGGTTTGAATCCCACATTCGCCCTGTCTAGGTTTCTGGGTTTGTCAACATCTTGGTCATACTTGCGTGTTTCACCAATGTAGGAAATATCCTCTGGCTGTACTTCGGGTCTTTCTCCCACTTAAAACGGACACGCCACGATATAACCTCTCACACCTACTGAACTACTGAAACCACTCACACCCACTGATGTTCAAGACATAGGAATGTTGTTCTCAATATGTGTGATATCGAGACAAGATTATAAATTTTCAGATTTGTTCAGATTCTGAGGCATTATCATGATGATGTCATACATACTATATATTGGGGAGTTGACAATATCATGATGATGTCATACATACTATATATTGGGGAGTTGACAATATCATGATGATGTCATACATACTATATATTGGGGAGTTGACAATATCATGATGATGTCATACATACTATATATTGGGGAGTTGACAATATCATGATGATGTCATACATACTATATATTGGGAGTTGACAATATCATGATGATGTCATACATACTATATATTGGGAGTTGACAATATCATGATGATGTCATACATACTATATATTGGGGAGTTGACAATATCATGATGATGTCATACATACTATATATTGGGGAGTTGACAATATCATGATGATGTCATACATACTATATATTGGGGAGTTGTGGTCATACACTACTACTGTTCAAGGAGTAACCCACACATCTGTCTCAGATGCCTACACGTGATGTCTCATCCTTCAGATAACCAGCGTTCCTTTATCTCACAGAGGTTACTTTCAACTGATGCACACATTGTCATTTTTGTTCAGATTTGGGAAAGAGAGTAGCAAGACACAATGTGTTCTTTACTACTGTTTCCAATATCTGCCTGGCTCATTATATTATAATATTACGGGACTTGATAGTAACCTTTTAAGGTTTATGTTTGGTCTGGGATACTCTTATACCTAGAATTTGTTGTCGGGAAAATAATTTTGGACCTTTAATGACGCAGTGAATCATCTATTCGTGGCCTGTCGTTATCTGGTGCATTTCATGAGTCTAATACATTTCATAACAAACCCTCGGATAAGAACCATGAATTAAGAATAACATATAAAGCTGACTGACAATGTATCATACAATATACAATTGCAAAGATTACACGGAAGTGAAGTGAGGGCACTTTACATAATATTGGAAACTACAAAGGACGTGATTTAGCGCAACTGAGAAAAATGCATACAAAATAATGAAATAACCTTTTTATATCAATAGTGAACGTGCATCATGTAACAAAGCAGAGTGAGTGAGTGAGTGAGTTAAAATTTTAAGTCAGTATTTCAGCCATATCGTGACTATGACAGTTGTAAATGTATACATTATACACTTATATACTTATATGTCTGAAAAGGACAGTAAAATAACTAGTCTATCAAAGATTTATACTTACAACTAGCATATGGCCATAAAACACTATTTCCATCTTTATCAGTACATTATAAAAATGAGCTATAGGCCGCCAACACCTGAAGGTAGATCACCATGCTAGGGACCATGGGGATTTACAGTGCTTTTGCTACCTTCATGGACCCTAGTTGTATTTACACCATCCCTTCAGTCACTGCTGATTTCGGACAAATATAACCATAAATTAAAAACACACATAATCTACGATTGAAAAGTTTTAAATTTACTTCGAATGTATTGGCACTTACGTACCCTCTCAGGAAGACAATAATTTTACGATACATTATCCTCCTTTGAGGATACAGGCATTAACAATCGCAGTACAGCCTGGTGGAATGCAACTTAGAATTTATGCACACATGGATACACAAATAGTCATAAGTTAAACTGCATGTTCAATGATATGACCACTTCTTTGTATCTAGACTACGGTAAATTAGTCAACCTTCGGCGGCTGACTTTTGTGGAAGCCCCGGTGGCTGAGCGGGTTAGGCGGCTGACTTTGTGTGCTGGCGATTAGGTGCCTGACTCTAAGGGTGTGAATTCGAATCCCGGATAGGCCTCAACCCAACAGAAGTACTAGAATTTGTACTTTACTGAGAAAGTGTAATCCCAAATATAACATATGTTACATTTGGCCACTTTCTAAAGAAAGTGTGTATTCAAATGTGACGCATTTAGAACTATGATGATGTGTCTTCATGATTTTAACTCGATAAAATATTGAAATATTGGACATTACTGATGTGAAATAAGTTTTAATTGCCACAGAAAATAAAACTTCCTGTCTTTAAGTCAATCTCTAAATAGGATGACTGCCTGTTTCATCATAAACTGTAGCAAGTATAGGTATACATCGTCCAACAGAGATGGAAATGAATGTACACTTGCTTGTAACATGGAGTCCTGGAGACAACATGTGCATATTTTGCATTAACATCATAAAAAGTATGCTTGGAAAGATATGTTGTGTTAAAATGTTGTGTTGAAGACATAAGATATATACAAGTTGAATTATTTTGGAAGACGTATGCCGTTGATACAGATAACGTTGCGAGGGGGAAACCTACATCATCCAGTGGAGAAGGTCCTTTCCCATCATCCCAAGCTACAGACGGAAACACTGCTGCAGACGGGTACATTGTCTGTTGTCTGGTGGCGAGTAGAGACAAGTGTTGGCGTGACAATCCCAGAACTGGTGGTTACACCGACAGACGGAAACACTGCTGCAGACGGGTACATTGTCTGTATAGAGACAAAGGGCAGCAATCCCAACTGGTGGCGAGTGGATCTCAATCACACAGTGTTGATACGTGACGTCACCATCTACTTCAGAACTGACTGTAAGTATAGTATCAATGACTGATTGGCATTAGTTACACTGTCTGTATAGAGACAAAGGGCAGCAATCCCAACTGGTGGCGAGTGGATCTCAATGACACAGTGTTGATACGTGACGTCACCATCTACTTCAGAACTGACTGTAAGTATAGTATTGACTGATTGGCATTAGTTACACTGTCTGTATAGAGACAAAGGGCAGCAATCCCAACTGGTGGCGAGTGGATCTCAATGACACAGTGTTGATACGTGACGTCACCATCTACTTCAGAACTGACTGTAAGTATAGTATCAATACTGATTGGCATTAGTTACACTGTCTGTATAGAGACAAAGGGCAGCAATCGCAACTGGTGGCGAGTGGATCTCAATGACACAGTGTTGATACGTGACGTCACCATCTACTTCAGAACGGACTGTAAGTATAGTATCATGACTGATTGTCATTAGTTACACTGTCTGTATAGAGACAAAGGGGGCAACAATCGCAACTGGTGGCGAGTGGATCTGAATGACACAGTGTTGATACATGACGTCACCATCTACTTCAGAACTGACTGTAAGTATAGTATCATGACTGATTGTCATTAGTTACACTGTCTGTATAGAGACAGATACCAGCAATCCCAACTGGTGGCGAGTGGATCTCAATGACACAGTGTTGATACGTGACGTCACCATCTACTTCAGAACTGACTGTAAGTATAGTATCAATACTGATTGTCATTAGTTACACTGTCTGTATAGAGACAGATACCCGCAATCCCAACTGGTGGCGAGTGGATCTCAATGACACAGTGTTGATACGTGACGTCACCATCTACTTCAGAACTGACTGTAAGTATAGTATCAATACTGATTGTCATTAGTTACACTGTCTGTATAGAGACAAAGGGCAGCAATCCCAACTGGTGGCGAGTGGATCTCAATGACACAGTGTTGATACATGACGTCACCATCTACTTCAGAACTGACTGTAAGTATAGTATCATGACTGATTGTCATTAGTTACACTGTCTGTATAGAGACAAAGGGCAGCAATCCCAACTGGTGGCGAGTGGATCTCAATGACACAGTGTTGATACGTGACGTCACCATCTACTTCAGAACTGACTGTAAGTATAGTATCAATACTGATTGTCATTAGTTACACTGTCTGTATAGAGACAAAGGGCAGCAATCCCAACTGGTGGCGAGTGGATCTCAATGACACAGTGTTGATACGTGACGTCACCATCTACTTCAGAACTGACTGTAAGTATAGTATCATTACTGATTGTCATTAGTTACACTGTCTGTATAGAGACAAAGGGCAGCAATCCCAACTGGTGGCGAGTGGATCTGAATGACACAGTGTTGATACGTGACGTCACCATCTACTTCAGAACTGACTGTAAGTATAGTATCATGACTGATTGTCATTAGTTACACTGTCTGTATAGAGACATATACCAGCAATCCCAACTGGTGGCGAGTGGATCTGAATGACACAGTGTTGATACGTGACGTCACCATCTACTTCAGATCTGACTGTAAGTATAGAACTGATTGTCACCAGATACAACAGCTACAACTAGTAATACATGGTATATGTCAGTTGTGTGGATCTGTTGTTGGTTCGTGTGGGTCCATTGTGAAAGTTTATTTGCCGATTGGTGTATAAAATATACTTTAATAATAATACACAAGCAAAAACAGTGAACAGAGGGGTCATGACCCTTCTCTAGAGACACAGACAGACAGTATAATGCAGGTCATGGAAAAGTTTGGATTAAAATCATTAGATGGACAAACGTTATGACTGCTAATACACCAGCCTGTTTTATTCGAAATGTTTCATCTGCCTTTAGATAGGGCTACCCAGTGTCACCCTACATGTTCCTTCTTGCTGTTGAAACACTAGGCTTTATTAGGTGCAATGCAAAACATAGAACAGAAATTGGGACAGCATGCTGAAGACACCCAGCTATTTTAGATGGATCTGAAACTAGACTAATTGTTCTATTTTAACAGTAAATAACTTCTATACTGACAGCTATTAAAACTTCATACTTTCTTTACTCACACAAATGTCAACATATATAAATGTAACTGGCAGGTATGTTTTAAGTGAACATCTGTGGATAATTTCATCTGAAAATGTTCAATCAACTACAACATCAGTGACATCAAACAAAGGAGGGGTCACTTGCAGTCAATATCGTGTGAGTCCACCGTGCGCTGCAAGACAAGCTCGCAGTCTTCGGGGCATTGAAAGACACAAATGTCTCAGGAACAGCTGTGGCATGGTCTGCCAGTGATGTTGAAGGGCCTGCGATCATGTTCAAGGACAGGAAGGCCGGGTGGGACAACTTAAGAATGGCCAGCGAGTCCTAACTTGAAAACACACAGAAGGAAGCGAGCTACATATTTTATATCATTATATTCCTGCAGAATCTTTTATTTCACTACCAGAATTATCTTAATTGAAAAAAATTAGACACCACCTTTGGATAATCCAGTATGGACTTTCTTTCAAATGATGTTGTTTTCCCTGTAAACAACTTCAAGTAGGAGGTGGAAATGGTTGAAGGATCAGTTGGCATTGATTTGGCGCAGGTCAATCTGCGATTTTTCCAGTTTTGCATTCTGCGTGCCTTATATTAGATCACTATTCCATAACAGTGTTACATACTGTAACGTTATAAACATGTGGCCCCGGAACATGGTCCGGTATATCAGATTAAGTAGCAAATATATTACCCATCAAAAGTTGGGTAGACTCACTGGTGTACATATAGCCACTTACTTCAGGCAACTGTTCTAAACTAAATTTTGAAAAATATTCCTTAATGTTTAAAGGTACTGTTTACACATGAACTGATGTATTGTAAAAGAAATTCGTAACGTTGAAAAGATTATTGTCATGAGTTCAATAAATGATAAAAATCAGTGTAAATTGGCGATTTCTAAACAAACTTTACACCTAAATGCAGTTGTTCACATGCACGATAATTGCACATGCATTTCAGCAATCTGATGCATTATATGATGCAATCTCGTGCAATTCATCTGCATAAGGTCTGCAATGGGTTCCCCTAAGTTAGTGGAGAAATCAATCTTCGATGTAACCATATATATGCATATTAAAAACATATAGTGATTGTTTTCAGTGAGTCTAAACTTTTGGTGGGAAGTATACTATCAGAGCCAAAATATCTGATCACTGCACGTCATCAGGCCGGATAACATCTGGTGAACCCGAAGCTGGAGTTTCATTGTACAGTACATCCTTCTACAGAACACGGAACGGGTTACCCTAGAACCAGGAACAACGTGAGAACACACCATACGGGCTGTCTATTGCACATTACATTCTACATGCATGTTGATGTCGCACTTGACCAAACCAGGAGTTTCATATTTAATACCAGCACAGCTTCTGTGTTGAAACGAGTGTGGATTGTAGAAAGTGTGTAACTACTGTACAAAAACGTGGAAGTTTTTTGTGGAAGTCGCGGTAGCTGAATAGGTTAGGCGGCTGACTTTGTGTACTGCCGATTAGGTGCCTGACTCTGAGGATGTGAGTTCGAATCCCTGATGGGGCTCAACTCAAAAAAGTACTAGAATTTGTACTTTACTGTGGCCAAGTCATGTTTTAATCATTATTTGTTTCATAGTTTGTAAGTTTCAATTTTAAGTACTTGTATATAGTTATTGCATACTTTATAGGTGTCAGCTTATAACAAACCTTCTCAGTTAACCTTCTACACTTATGCAATTACTCATTTAACAATAGCCACCCTACTGGGTCAGGCCAGGCTCTGACCCTTGCGCTTACATTCTGCACAAGCTTCTTTTGTCCCTCTGCCTCAGTTTCTCTGGTCAGCTTGCCACCTATTGTTTGTTAAGTCTTAAAGGTGGCTGTCACACATAACCTGTTGGCAGTCACACATAACCTGTTGGCTGTCACACATAACCTGTTGGCTGTCACACATAACCTGTTGGCTGTCACACATAACCTGTTGGCTGTCACACATAACCTGTTGGCTGTCACACATAACCTGTTGGTTGTCACACATAACCTGTTGGCAGTCACATAGATCTTTGTGGAGGATCACATCACTGTGGTATATTTGTGTTTTCTGGAACATTTCTGGAACATTTCTGGATCATAATGAAGATGTTATTATTCAGGTCAGTGCATATATTGTATGTGTATATATGGCATTGTATATAGTGTATTTTTTAAAGAAGTGTTACATTAATGCATCGGTGTGTAGTTAAATGTATCTATTGTTTTCCAACCCTCACTACAGTTGGTTGGATGTGTAATTTAAATGTAATTTATCTACATTATATCATTAAATATCAACTAGCTATTTACATTAAATATGGTGTATGTGGTAGGTAAATACCAGTCTAAACATATTGTCTAAACCTATAATCGTATGAATGTGGTATGAAATAGTGAAGGTGGATGTGAGGTTGATTAAATATTGTTTTTATCATTACTTATTTTATATACCAATAGTAGTATTATCAAGTTTGTATTTTACTTTTCTTAGAATGATCCATGATGATGTATATGATTGATCCGTGACAGCATGAGAGCTGATGCACACTCACTGCCACACAGTGGTAAGTGTATGTTGTAATAAACTCTATATATTTTCTTCATGTATATTTGACATATTTTTATTGAATGTCCTAAATGATATATGTATATATGAATAGTTTTCAGGTTGCTATTTATATTAAAAGATTTATTTATGCTAGTGCATTCTCAGGGCTAGCTGAATTTAAGAATATATAGAAAGTGTAATACATGTATATGTACACCTTTATGCTCAAATACTTAGTTATATTTATATATATTTTCAGAGTTGTTCCAACATTCATGTCAATAATAAAAGGCTGTCATCTGAGAACACAAGTAGCGTTATGTTGTGTGCGTTCCATCCACCCACCAACATTCACCCCATATTCCGCTACTACATTACTAAGAAAGTGTAATCCCAAATATAACATATGTTTGGACTTTGGACCGTAGCCTGGGATGTTGATACGCTTTACAACAGATTACGTGAACACCCAGTGGGGCGTGGACATCCGTGTAG